TTGCATAACAATATACCTCTGTACTCAAAATTCAAAGGCAAATTGCCAATCTTCCTACAGCATCCACCTTTACCAATCAACGGTTGCTGCCACTTTACTGTCAGCCATTATTCTGCCTGATGTGTGCTGGCATCCTTCTAAAGGCTGCTCTTCCTACAATAACAAAGTCCCATGACACACAACCACCTGAGCCTCTCTTGACAGGGTCACACAGACCACACACAGCACCACCATTTGCCACCGTCCTCTGGACATGAAATCATTCCTGCAGCAAATTAAAATGACTGGGTGGTTTGGGTTATGGTTGTCTGTGTTTGTTGCTGCTGAAATATGTTGTTTGAGAATGTTTTTATTGTGCAATGTCCCCTTCACCTGCTACTACGTCAATTGTTATAGCCAGAGTAGCTAGACAGCAAATAATAGCAATACCAATATTACTTTATCCGTTCAGTTTTTCCAGCTGTTGTAATTTCGACGGATCATTTTTTTAATAAGGCTGTATGAATCTTGGCTGGTTGAGCCAAATGCTGGCTAGCGCGTTGCTTTATGATACACTCATTGCCACGTCTTGGCATAATGCTATTCCGAGACGAGTCAAACTGCATTCATTATCACTGAAAGCCTCCTTTTCCAACTGTTTGCTATTCATGGTTTCTCGGGCTACAAATTCAAGTAACAAAAAATACTCTTCAGATACATGACGGTGGTATATCGTTTTCAGTCGAGCTATTAAATGAACACTGGAGGAAGTATATATTATGTTCATCAAAATCCAAAATAAATGATACACTGGTACGGCTGTTTCTCATTTATAACATTTACAAGAGGATGCAAACCTTGTTGATGCTAAATTTCCATATGGCCTAACAGAATCTTAACACACACTCGGGAGCAGAAAATGAGTCATGATAAGAAGAGATTGCCGTTTGGTACTCTTTTCTCAGGTGCATAGGACTATATCAGCAGGGAACCGTGAGCTGTCTTGAGAGCAGTCTTTCAGTGGTAACCCCCTCCTCCTCTACAACTACCTGTGTTATTATCTTTAGAGATAGGAGTGTTCAGATTACAGGGTTTTGTGTTGGAGCTTGTAACTAGTCGGCCTGGTGCATTCTTGCCTTTCACCAGTGTAGTTAGGTAAAATGACAGGAATGTGTTAGCAGGAGTTACAGCAACATAAAGAGTCAAAATCAGACCGTGTCCGGATTTAGATTTATTTGTGTTTGTATATTCGGTCACAATATGTGTCTGATTCCAATGTGTTATGTAGCTAAGTAACTCTGGTGTATTATTGTATTATTTTTTTTTACATGGAGCTCATGTGTATAGGAATGTGTGACCAGGTGTTTCACACTGTCCGTAGATTCTATCTTCTTTTGAAAGTCAATAGGTTGGGTATTTAGCCATAGGGCATGTATTTTCATCATTTCCTCTAATAATACAAGCTACTTGACATTTCTGTCCTTGGGTATTCAAAAGAGAAGAAGAGCAGGTGGGGGTTAGGACTATTTCCCTTGTTCCTGTTCCAACAGGCCCAAGTATTTGTCAAATATAACGTGGGGCTTTTAAGTGGTCTTTAATAACAAAACAACCTTAAATCTACCTGTCACATATTTCAAGGAAGACAAACGGCACATGGAATGGAAATATGAACATGACTCTCCCAAAACAGTCTCGGATATCATCCACATTGTTGGTAATTGGAGTAGTTTGGGCATAAATCAGTCTTTCGTACCATAAATCCAGCTTTCGGCCACTGGGGAGAGAACCAAACCTAAAACGTCTTTATGGTTAAATAACATTTTCCTGCTCTAATTTTAAAACATTGTGAGAATAGAAGAAATGTCAGCCTTGCTCCAAAAGTAACTAATCATTTCATAAGCATTAAAGAAAAGTATCCTGCATAGAGTGAAATTATATAGCACTTTCAAATTGTTGTTACTATCCCAATTGTCTCGACATGAAAAACAAATTTGATGGATTTTATGAAGTGGATGTTTGTACATCAGCTGTTCTTAGAAGCATCTTGATACTTTTCATGGATTAACTGTTTACAACCTCCGGAGGTGGTGAATCTCTGTGCCTTTCCCTGTAGCCGTTGTGTTGCTAATCACAATAAAACTATTCATCTTTGTGGTCTGTGGGTGGCTGGAATCTCCAGTATGTATTTCAATAAGGGCCTGTAACGGATGAATCCTCTGAGACTTCTGCTGTCCTGTGCTCTTATGCAGCCTGCTGAAAATTACCCACTTACACAGGGTGCTCACTCTGTCCCAATGCCAAATTACTGGCGTCATTTTCCAATCTATTTGTTCATTTCCATTTATTTATTTAGCTGTGGATGAAGGACAATAGGGACAAGACGGGGACACTAACAAACTAGTGTTTGTTAGCAAGTATTTCTAGAAGAACCCACTGCCTGCTCCTGAGGATTATCATTATCATGTAATAATGTAGATTTGATGATGAATTCTGTGCACCAGCAGCATTGCAGCTTTAGAGAACATAGTGTTGTGGAATTGAGGCCATTTTAACCTTTTTATTTAAATATTCTGGTGACTCAGTAAAATCTGTGTATGTCAAATTTTGGAAGATGCATGCATATTCATTCGAACATCTATATTCCTAAGAGCTCTCCAGGTCAACTATCTGTGTTCTTACATCTTAAAACCGTTGGTGGTAATGACTATGCTCAAAGGGAATGCGTTATCTCCTTGAAAGAGGCCAAAGTAGCTTGCTGATGCATCATGGATCATACTGCAAAAGTATTGTACTGTAAAGAGAGCTGTGTTCTCTTTTTGTAATCTCAAACTAATCATGATGTAGTGGCTTTGAACAACGAGCTGTTTGTGCCGTTTGGTTTTAATCTGTTGTCCCTATGAAAGTGCTGATTCGATATTGGCTTAGTGGACCCATATTGCCCATATTGGACCACCAATTTGACTTTGCTTTCATGCAGTTTATACACATTTACTTCCCTCTTTTCTATTCGGTTTTGAGTTTTCTCTGACTTTACCGCAGCTATTGTAAAGGACAGTGTACGTGTATAATCGCAGAATTAAAAGGGTTTTGTTGCACACAAACAGTGTTCTGAATTAATCAGCTGTTTCCATTATCACTATTTTATGAACAGCTGCTTCACATATTTCAGGGCCAAACAAATGAGATTGTGCTGTAAAATCCAAGGTCAGATCACAGTGGGTTGCCTTAACTGTACCGGCTGAGGAAACCACATCTTCCACTATTCAAGCCCCTCATCGCTGCTTGAAACGGTGAAATTTCTGGCCAATTTCACATCATATTAACATTAAACCACTGAGAGAACATTATCACATAGAGCACAGCAACATAGTAAAGCTCCCCTGTAAGCAGCAGACACTTCAATTTTAAATACTGACCATTAAACCCGTCAAAAACATTCTCGAAGAGATTTTTAAAAATTGTATTTACAGTTTTACGCAGCCCTGTAGGCCTCACAGAGTGACGATCTGGGCTAAAACACACAGGACATTTTTGTTTCTCTCCAGGGATGACATCTGCAAAGCCATTAAACTTTCACCTAACATATGAAACCATAAAGGGCACTATGTGGGGAAGAGTACAAACAACCCGGGAGGTAGCCCTTGGCATAATGTTTGTGCTAGCATTTTGTAAGCATGTTTGTGTCCCTCTGCGAATCTTGTTTCCTATAATGAGTGCAGTGGCATTTCATAGCTCTGTCCCCCCTCTTTTGTTTTCTGTTATTTTCCTCTACGAAATAGGATTTAATGAAACTGGCAATAAACTGTGGGGTTATATGAATGGACTTCCATCACCATCAAACATTATGCATTGCAGTACTGGTGAGGGATGATGAGTGAGCAGAATGAAGAAAGGAAAGGGAGCAACATAAGGTAGAGAAACGGGGTCAGCTTCAGTTTACGTAACTCCCCTCTTCACAGTAAGCCCGAGTGCATGCAGCAGCAGAGGGTTGGGCTCCCACTCATCTGCGGCAGCTACACACGCAAAAACAGTGCACCCCCCAAAGGGTCTGTCCTAAAAGGAGGGGAGCACACATCAGGAGGAACAACAGTAACAATGTGGTTATTTAATCTTCTGTTCCATCTGTTGATGGTCCCAGGCACAGAACGGGGCCTTCTCAGAGCAGGCTGTCTTGCCTAAAGGCCGGTAGATACTGTAGATCCAAATGTGCATTATGGAAAAAAAAGCGTATGACCTTGTCCCTTCTCCTCACAGCCCTTTCTAATGCTCTTGAGACCAACAATGCTACATGGACGGCTCACGCTGTGAATAACTCATGTTCTCTCCGACTGTCACAGTGGTCATACTGTCATTACGTCCCCTCCAGTTCACACGACAACCCCGGTGCATTTTGAACGGGGATGAGTGGATCATTTCCTCTGCAACACAATAAAAATATGCTAGGATCGAGTTACATTTGCTCCTCTGTTCCTCTCTTCTAATTTCTTTTTTCTGACCAGCGTCGGAGTTGTTTTAGGGGAAAGTGTCACTTTGCAATTTCGAACAGGGACTTTGCGAAGAAGTTGTAATGGGGTACACACAGTTAATAAATGCTTGGTAATACAATTACAGGTAACTTGATCAGTGAAACAAAGTAATTTAAGATGAAGGCATATGAGGTGTTTCATAATAACTATTGTATGTCCTCAGCAATCATACAATGATCTTTTCCCCTCAGAGGTAGTTTCTTAAATTATCCTCATAGTTCCAGTTGATAAATGATCAAACTTCTTCAGATTCATCTGATCATTACTGTATCTTGCTTATATAGTGCTGATACAGTTATTATTCTGTCTTTTGACTATTGCATAACAGCCAATGAAAGGCCGCTCTGGACACGTAAAAAAATAAGGATGTTTACGTTTCCATATTTAGCTGCAGATTTCTTAAAACACAAGCCAGTATTTATCCGTAAGCAGCATGCATAATTGAAAGCACATTACAAATTTGATATGATTTTTCATCTGGATATCTGTTTTCAGAGCTTTATGGATCGTACCAGCAACTGAAGGACCAAACTGTCCGTAGATCCAGTGACAAACAAAATGCCAGAAAATTCAACACGATCCTGCAGGTAGGCTAACCATCACAATTCTGTCTTTTGATTTGATTTTGTGTTCTTTCGGAGCTAATTTACACTTTGTCCTACTTCTTTTCAGCCTCTGAATCATGGGAAATGTTGAGAGCCAGAATGGGGACCATACCCTTTACCGTAACGATCATGGCTATTTGTCACGTAAGCACATGTCTCGGTCTCTTCGCATCTCCAACAAACAGTCCAGACGCTCTCGACATGCTTCATCAGGGAAACTAGAGCACAGGAATTCTGAAACGAGCACACGCTCAAGTAGCACCCCCAGTATCCCACAATCCCTGGCTGACAATGGCCTGGAGCCCTTCAATGAAACGAATATCCTCCCAGACTTTGGAAGCCCCATTTGGGTGGACCGTGTGGCCATGAACCTGCGGCCTGTGTCCTTTCACAATGACCTGGCCAATCCCTCTGTGCACATGAATACGATGCACATAACCCTACCTGGACCCACAGCAGAGGAGGTGCAGGATGAAGACGCGTACACAGGCGAGGTAACATACCTTCAGAAAACTCGGGATTGCTCCAAGGACTCTGTCGGCTTCAAGAAAAAGAGGTCCAAGTCTGCAGACATGTGGCGAGATGACAGCCTGGAGTTCTCACTGTCTGACCTCAGCCAAGAGCACCTGACAAGCACAGAGGAGATTATAGACACGACCAACGAGAGGGACTTTACTGACTGCAAAGGACACCTGCAGTCCAGCCCCACGGACTCTGCTGACAGGGCAAACTCCCTGGACGAGCTATACAGCCAGAAGTGCCCTGCCCGCAGGCAACCCCACGGTCGCTATGCCAAGTGGCATGACTCCAACAGGGCTATCAGAGAGGGTGAGGACGATAAGATGATCTCCCCATCAGAGGAGGATGGGAACACCTATGGTGCATACACCCTCCCCTGCCGGCGTTCCCACTGCCTTTCTGAAGGCCTGAGCAGCCACCAAGCTGCCATGTGTGCCAGTATGCAGGGCAGGAGGGCACAGACTATACAGGTAAGATGTAGAGCAAGTTCACATTGTGCTGCTCTTTTAAAATACCAATTTGGCTCAAATTATCTTTTAAAGTGGCTCAATTCATAGAAAACTGAACAAACCATTTCCTGTATCCATGAAAGTGTTAACAGTGTATTCATGTCCTCTTGACACTCTCTTAAGTTGAACTGTTAAAGCTGTGTCATGGCTCCTTTATGCTCCTTGGACAGAGTAAACTGTGCAGAATCTTAATGTGGTCTGGTGGCATCATCAATAACACAGCTCCCCTCCTTTTATTTTTTCCTCCCATTGTGTCCGAGCGTTTCCTCTGCTGCATTCACCTCACAGATAATACGCTGCTGAAACGGATTAAATGTAAAAATAACGCTTATGTCAGGGGAGCACTGTGTCGTCTCCTGATGAAACTGTTGTTTTTCTTGGGCGAGGAGACTGCAATGATGAGAGGGAGGGAGCAGTGCTTAAAGTCACTCCCTGTTTGGAATGCCTCGGCCTTTTGTCATGATAATTAGGGGAGGCCTGCGGAAGAGTGTAACAGTAAAACGTGTGTGGTGGCCCTGTCACTGCAGGGCACCGTCAGCCCTAGAGAAAGGAGCTCTGGAGCGCATGATTGGGTCATGTGACCAGATGGAGATACCAAGCTCAGTGTAGCCCCCTTCATCTCCCAGGAGCCTTTGGCTATGTGGGTAGGAGAGGGCAGACCCTGCGGTGCCACAGGGAGGGCAGGCTGTACTCGCACAACAGCAGACGCTTTGCTGCGAGTAATTCATTTTGAGCAGAACCTCAGGATTAAGCAACCCATGGACTCTCGTTAGGCCTCTTTACTCACAGTTTTTGCAACATGTTTAGAAGAATGGCTCCATGCTGTATGTACATAGACAGCTTAGTCGTCAATGAGGGTAGCAGTTGTTGACGGGCTTCATTCTTAGTGATGAAGACAACGTGGCTGCCATGCCGTCTCACCTGTCTTGTGCTTCTGCCACGACGCAGGATGTCACTGCCGGAGAGGGAAGTGAGTACGAGGACAGCGGCATCGATGGGGTGACTGTGGAGGCAGAGCAACACTCCAGACGCTACAAGACCATGTCAGCCTCCTTCTCCGTGTACTCGGCGGCAGGCAGGAGCATGTTCGCTGGCAGCGACAGTGGCAGCAGCAGTGGCGGTGGGGCCAGCGAGTGTGTACAGGGCGTGTACGAGAACTTTCGCCAAGAACTGGAGATGAGCTCCTGCCAGACGGAGAGTTTGGAGGAGGCAGGGTCCGCCCTGAGTGACGAGCAGAGTACCATGAGCTCCACCTACCAGTCTGACCCGTTGCTCAGCGTCACCCAGGGGATGGTGCGTAAAGCTGGCAGGCTTGCCGTCAAGAACTTCCTCGTACATAAGAAGAACAAGAAAGTGGAGTCAGCCACAAGGCGCAAGTGGAAGAGTTACTGGGTTTCCCTGAAAGGTTTGTTATGCCCTCAATGTGTCCATAACATTTACATTTTATTCCATAATCTCAATATTAATACAGCCCAGATAACACGGGACACTTTTGATGTAGTTTTTTTGCTGACATACAGTAGCTTATACAGAAATACTTCAAATCTAATCTAACCTCAATTTACAGTAGCTGAGTAAACCAAGTTTCAATTCAAGCATGATAGAAAACCTCATTGTCAGATGTATGCCACTTGACTGGGCTTGAAATGAAATCAGATCTCTCATGATCATGATTCCTCCCTCGGTGACTTATCAGCCATGCTGCACTTCTTTTATTTGGCCACTGGAGAGCAGAATTAAATTGCTTTGAGCAAATCAGGCTCTAAAAAACAAAACATGATTGTCATTGTTCACCTTTCCTAGAGATTGGGCCATCATGAGCTTATGCGGCCAATTAGCATATTATGCATGTAATGTAATAGATGTTTTGGTTTTCCAGGTTGCACTCTATTCTTCTATGAGACCGATGGCCGCTCAGGGATCGACAACAACAGTATTCCCAAGCATGCCATCTGGGTGGAGAACAGTATTCTCCAGGCTGTACCCGAGCATCCCAAAAAGGACTTTGTGTTCTGTCTCAGCAACTCCCTGGGAGACGCTTTTCTGTTTCAGGTAAGAGAATGCTTAAATGTCGTCTGTGCTCTGTGAATAAGTGCAAATTCTCCCAAGTACCTTGACCTATATGTAGTGTTTTCTTTCCTTTCATGCTCTCTCAAGTCTGATTTGCTATAATAATTAGCAATGAATCAACTCAGGAAAAGCAAATGGAGAGCTTTTTATCTCAAATGTTAGGGAGCCGTTTGTTGTTGTTCAACCTCTGACCTTTCCCTGTCTGTCCCCACGCAGACCTGCAGCCAGACAGAGCTGGAGAATTGGATCACAGCCATCCACTCGGCATGTGCCACTGCCGTCGCCCGCCTGCATCACAGAGAGGACACGGTGCGCCTGCTTCGCGCAGAGATCAAGAAGCTGGAGCAGAAGATAGACATGGACGAGAAGATGAAGAAGATGGGAGACATGCAGCTGTCAGCTGTTACTGACACCAAGAAGAGGAAGACAATCCTGGATCAAGTAGGTTTTATCCTTCGTTCTCTCATGGCTTGTCTGTCATATATTCCCCGCATGTCAGGCAGTTATGTGGGATTTTAAGAAGTATCATCCTGACTGAAAGAGTTTGGAAATTTGATTGGCCCTCTGAGGAAGTCAGGGAATAATTGAGGTTAAAAGTACTGCATGCAGCTTGCCAGTTTTACTGGAAATCAACCTATTTACCTAACTTTTCTAAGCTGATAAGAAATTTAACAAGCTAGGAGGGATTGATAAAAGGCCACAGACAAAGGGTTGTCTGGATTTAGTAAAGTAGTAGAAAAATGCATGGAGTATTACATCAACACAAGAGCTCTTGTCATCAACCTTCTGCTCCTCTTTCTGACTGTTGACACAACTGTTGAACTTTAAAGGGTAAGGTATTTTCTCCAGGATGAACTTTGTCTTCACTTAAGAAGCAAAATAGGGTAGCTCTCAAGATTTCTTTCACTCTGGTCTGAGGCTATAGTGACAATAACAGCTATTATTTTCATAACCTATTAAAGTTACGCATTGTTTGCTTAATTACAGGTATCGCATGAAAGTAGGTATTTCAATATCAGTCAATTGTTTTGATACAACAATGGAGGATGAATTGGAGATGGACAGAGAAGCAGGGAGAGGTACAAGGGGATTAAGTAACAAATCTCAGAGGTATCATCCGCTAGAGGCTGCTGATGCTACACACCTATCGGCCATTAGATTGCTTTTTGTTTTGTTTTTCAAACCAGTATGCCGTTGGCATCAGTTGATTCTTTCAATTAATTGCAAAGCTCGTATTGTCTTCTAATAGGTCTGTTTACAGAGAAGGGAGTACGTGGTTGGAGCGGCTCTGTTTGGCAGTGTCAGGTTTGACATTGTGCAGTGCTGAATGGATATAGGCCCGCTCCTAAGAAAGCTCAAACACTCCCAGCCTCTATCTGCCAGTGGAATGTGCAGTATTGTTTCTTTCTCCTCTCTGGCTACTTGGCAGTGATACAGAGCCCTCTGCCATGGCACTGGCAGGCTCTTCCGAACACTAGTTCAAAACCGTGACTGGGTGGGGACGGATCGGTGAATAATCACAATGTACTGCTCTACTGCCCCAGTAAACACCAAACCATTAGGAACCGAGAGCGCAGGTTGGCAACACTTGGAGTAAACTGGTTACAGAGTTTCTTGAGGCGAGAGGAGGACTGCAGTTGACAAACTAGAGCCCCGATGAACAATTAACTAGATGTTTATTTGTGTCCCTCTCATTCTGCAGATCTTCCTGTGGGAGCAGAACCTAGAGCAGTTTCACATGGATCTATTCCGCTTCAGGTGCTACCTGGCCAGTCTGCAAGGTGGAGAGCTGCCCAACCCCAAACGCCTCCTGGCTGTTGCCTCTCGTCCCACCAAGCTGGCAATGGGCCGACTGGGGATATTCTCTGTGTCTTCCTTCCATGCACTGGTAAATTTCATCTTTATCAAAGGTCCTCATTAAGTCTGGTTTTATGAAGAATCGTCACGATACACTTTTTACATAGCATCTTAGTTTTACCTCTATTTATGCATTTATCTGCAGCCATCACGAATAAGACTAGAAATCAGTGAATATTTGAAGTGCCAATGTGTAGCTCAAGTATACTTCAGCAACACAAACTATAGCTGTTGCTGGGATCAAACCTGTAACCTTTCAGCTGTGGGGGGGGATCTCTCTTAACACTACACTGCCCTTATATTTAGAAGTTCCTTCGGTACTGCATTTCCCTCAAAACACACACTGTCATCTCTAAGTACACCAGGTCAGTCTCCTGGCAGGGCAATTGATTCTAGAAACTAAATGCATTGCTTCAAATTTTCTTTCTTCCACATTTTTCCACGATGAGCAATATTTTGGAGCCTGGGTCTCACACAGGGCACCTGTCGAAGACGTTTTGGTTCAGTTTTGGCCTCCCACTGCTGTGCTGTGTGCTACACAGCTAAAAGCACCGGTAGTACAGGAAAACATCTATTTGATTTTTCAAAGACATGTTTGCAGATCAGTGAGGCACCACCAACGCAGTGCTGTGGAGCATGTGGGTGTTTGAGCTGCAAGATCGCAGGCTGGGATGTCTAACAAAAGACACTCCAACAGCTCTCTTTTTTATCTTTCCTGTTTCTCTCCCCCTCTAATTTCCTCATCTCTACTGCCATTAATACTTGCATCGGCCCTACTACGTCCAAAAATGACAGAACAAAACAAGACATCATTTAAAGAGCTTTTTACTCTTGCTTATTTTCACAAATGAGTAGCCTAAAAATGAGGTTGTGTAAGAACGTGCATGAGCCCAGTACTTGTGTGTGAAATAGTTATGACAGCCCAGTGCTGATGCACATGCGATCCCTTGTTCTCATTCCTCCTCAGTCTGGTGACATTTGTATTGCTTATAGAAAACCTACCGTTTTGAGCCCTGACTGAGTCATTATATTTTTGCAGGTGGCAGCTCGCTCAGAGAACGGAGTGAGACGGCGAACACAGGCAATGTCTCGTTCCTGCAGCAAGCGCAAGAGCAGGTTCTCCTCGCTCTGGGGTCTGGACACTACCTCAAAGAAAAAAACAAAAGCCCATCCCAGTATCAACCAGGTCTGCGATATTTTACAGTTACTTTCTAGTTTCAATGCAATCAATAGCACTGCCTTGGCCAGTAAAATATTACATTTTGCCTTTTCCTCAAGCATTTATCCTCCACATCTCTGCTTAAGTAATGACCACTTCACCTCTTTTTTGACCCAGCAGGTCTTTGCTGATGGCGAAGAGCTAGTGAAAAAGCCTGTTGATGGCGTATTTGTTGATCCCACCAAGGACAATACAGTAAGGAGGATTCTCTGTATGCATACACTTAACAGTGACTTGGAGGGCAAACACAAGTGGGAACTTACTCACTAGATCATAAGTCAACACTGACGTTAATGAAATATTATCCCTCTATTTTCCCTGAGTAAGCAGCAGAGCCAAGGCCCAGAGGTTACAACTATAACGGCTATTATTTTTCCTTTCTTTCCTTTTAAGCAAATGTAATATACTATAATATATTTAGATGGGAGGAATGATTAGAACATACTTGTTAAATCATCAACCATTTTAATCGAAACCAAACTTTGCAGTTAAACTTGTTTACATAGTAAAAACGATTCTGTACTGACGTAGCTGACTGAATAAGCCTTTTTAATGTCTCTGTTCTAAGAAAAGTGAGGATGGAACTGTGAAAAGCCTTCCACAGCCCAGCACGGAAAGTGATATCTGGGTCCCTGACCACCTCACCCCCTCTTGGGTGTGTCTGCCAAATGACCAGCCAGTGCTAACCATCATCCAGCCAGGGGAGTCAGCACTGTGCGTTCTGGAAACCATCTGCAAGGTAACAGTGGCCAATGGCCTGACCTGAACCACAGTTCACTCCAGCGATGTTTGCATGACAAAGATGTAAAGACACTTGGAAAGCACAAGACTTTTGAAATGAATGCTACGGTCTGGCCTCTCATAACATCCTTAAACTCGACAAATGGAAGTTATGCACGGTCAGGAAGTTGACTGTTTGTAATCTTTATTTCTATTCACATTTTTTTTTTTGCTACCCTCTAATCCGCTCCATGTCCTCTTTCCTGCATCCCACAGGCTCACCAGCTCGATCCCACCAAGCACTACTTGCGACTCAAATTCCTTATCGAAAACCAAGTGCAATTCTACATTCCTAAACCAGAAGAGGATGTGTGCGACTTGGTATGTAACTACCTGCTTGATCTTATCTCTCCTTCTCCACCAGACTTTTCAAGATTATAAAAGGTAAAAAAATGAAACGCTAGTAATTGCAATCACAGCACGGAGAAAACCACAGACCATAGGAGCATCCTGCGTTGTGAATTATTAATAGGTTTTGTCTTTTTATCCTTTCGATTGCACATCTCTGGAGAAATGCCTGCCTGGGAGGACCATGCATCAAAACATAAATCTATTCATGGAGAGCCTGTAGTTACTTTTGTATTTCCATCATGTAATCATGACACGTCATAGACCATCCTGCATAAAAGACTCTGCGAGCTGCTTTGTCTTAGAATACAGAAAATTAACGCTCTCCTTCCATGCTGTCAATAACCCACCCACCAGAATATGAATAAAATAGGCCGTCTCATGATTTATATAATAACTTCTTCTTGTTCTTCACAGCTTTACAAAGAAATTGAGCTCTGCTCCAAAATTACAAAAGTAATCCAGTTTGACAGAGATGAATCCTGCATGATCGGTTACGGTAGGAGCCATTTAAATGATCCAGTGTATTTTCTTTTACATTGACTTCTAAAATAATTTTTTTTCAGCTTATCTCAATGTCAAAGATTGCATATGTAATGCTGTTGTTTTCAGCGAAATAATTGCTTTTCTTTGGCCTATACACCCGTTTTTTTTTTTGCCTATTCCCATTTGTACTGCACAAATCCCTCTGATATTTTATATAAGAGTCTCCCTTCTCGCTCTCACTCCACCTCTTCTTGCTTCTCTGCCTCTCCTTTTCCTCCTCCAGGTTTCTCCATTTCAGTGGTGGAGGAGGACGGAGTGCAGCAGCTCTACATCACTGATGTGAAGGCGGGCGGATTAGCCTTCGCCAAAGGTTCATTACACTTCATTTCCATTAAATTAACTCCCATCAAATACATTCAATATGTGTCTGTGAACTGATGATTTACAGCTAGAGACAAAAGAAAAAGAATGTGGGGTGCATTGGCCGTTTTTCTGTTCTATTACAAGTTTTTAAAACAGAGCATTTTTCACACATCGAGGTTAATGGACTTTTTTACGCTACATCTCTTTAGAAATGCATTAGCGCATGTTTTCCAAAAGGTTTCAGAGAATACAGCAATTCTCAAGGGCATTGATTACTATAATCATAACCACACTGCCTCTCACTGGCCTTTGTGAAGGATGCTAAATACGATGCCCCACCACAGCTGCTTCACATCAGTACCCTTATGAAGTTATACTGCAGGGTTGAGTAATTTCAAATGCTGGAGTTGGTCATAGTGCAGATAAAAGTGAGATACTTGCACTGTCTCAGCAGCTGACACTTTACAGGGCATAGAGAGGTGGACCATGCTTTTGTCTCCGAAAGGCAAAGACGATAATAATGACTGTGCAACGAATGGTCTCCAAAGTACTATTTTTACTTTATTTGTTTCTACCGGTAATACATTTTGAGAATGAGATATTTGGGAAAGTAGATACTTTTTCAATTCAGTGTATGCACACATGGCAGGCAGAACATTTAATCAAAGCTAATGTTCCCACTTCTCAGGTCTCAATGCAGGGGATGAAATACTTCAGTTGAACGGAAAAGACTCTCACAGTCTCAACTTCTCCGACATGAAGGTAGCTTTCTCTCAAGCCTCGCTGGCTTTGACAGTCAACACCCTGCCTCCTGTGGAGCGCCGTCAGCTCTGCTATCTGCCCCCACGGCGCTCAGATGCGGAGGAGGATCTATACACGGACATCTTCTCCCAGAGTCAAGGTGAGAAGCGCCGTCAAATACTGCCGGACATGAAATCCACCTTCTTAATATTTTGTTACCCGAACGCATTTAAAAGGTGCAACTTGGCCCATTCACAGGTCCGATAAGCCGAGGTAACTGAAGAGTTTAACTTCCAAACTTTGATTTCCAGAAATCATGCACAGTGTATTAAAGCCATCGATTGCTCACAGTGTGGTCATGTTTACCAAACCAGCTGGCCTGTAATCGGCTAAAAGAATAACAAATGGACCAGAACGGCAATAGTAGGCAGTCAAAAAAGAATTCACGCTAGTGTCCTTAGTGACAGCAGTTTCATTTATACAAACGCGGTGAATCTACAGGGTCATAATTAGGAAGGCTGGGAAGCTGCCAGCAGTGTGTTACAGCCCCACTTTGTGGATCAGTGATAAGGTCATGAGGTTTTACATAAAGGTCTTCAATCTTAATAAAAAATGACAAAGCAAGGACATGTTTTCTCATGTACTGTACGCTGCTTGTGAAAAAAGCATTCATCTCATTTAAAAAAAAGAAAGAAGTATCTTATACAGTGCTTCATGAAGCTCATACATGACTGTTGTGTTTGTTGCAGAGGAGATTCTGGACGACGGAGTGGGACTGCTGCTCGAGAGCTCAGGAGACAGCCTGGACGACGACTCTGAGATCTTCAGTGAGTTTCAGTGCAGAAAGGTAAGAGCACCAGTTTATTAATCGTTGAGTGGAGTCCGGTTGAGTATCACGACAGAAAACATCTGACAGCACATCTTTAAAATGGTGTGCTTGTGTCCTGTCCTTGTCTTTCAAACCAATCCCTTCAACTCAGTTTTATTATGAAATGAGCGCATTAGAACAGTCTGTAACTGGCTTATTCAATCTTGTTTAGGAAAGCGGCGCCGTGTCCATATTAGCCAGGTGTTAATCCCATTCTTCTAGATACAAATCTGCATCAAGTTTCTCTTTTCCTTTCATGACACACAGCGGTTTTATCTGCACTTATGTAGCATCTGACGTAATGAAATAATCAAAGGGGCCTAAATATTAATGTATGCCCACATTGCTGAATAAAATGCCTCTTGTGCATCTTATGCATTAGAGCAGGGGTCACTAATAGGCGGACCTAGACGCCGTTGTATCTGGACCCTGGACCTAAAACCGAGAGATAATTGAGAATGATTAAATTTTGACCGAGCGCTTCTATTTTAACTGGCGCAGCCTTTCTAGCCTTTATGGCACTCATTCAGCGGTCCAAGAAACACACCGACCAATTACATGTGTTGTAAATCACATTACGTGATGCTGCTCAGCCAATCAAATATGTGTATTCCGACAAGTTTCTTGACTCGAGTGAGATTTACACACACGGGGGAGAGACGAGGAAACAGAAAGAGGAGTAGGAGAATAATACGTGAGTCAGAGAAGTTATTTCACATGACGTTCTCCAAAAAGAGAAAAGTGTTCAGCGAGACCAGAGTCTTGAACCAAGAATGAACAGACTCTGATATCTTCATTCTTCCTAGGGGCAGTTTAAAACCAGTATGTCTCGTATGTTCAGAGACCATTACGATAATTACAAGCGGTAATGTGAAGTACCATTATGAGACAAAGCATAACTCTTTTTAGCAAACGTACCCACTTAAATCCGAAATGAAGTCACAGAAAATAAACAACCTAAGAGCCCAATATGATCAGAATCCTAATACATGCATTCACTGACCAACAATGATGTTCACAGAGAGGAATAGAGCTGAAACAAGTGGCTTTAATAACCACAGATAAAGTCCCTGCACACTAATTTATCTTATTAGAAGAATATAATAATGTGGCTTATTTGGGTGACATCACTTCACACCTGAATTAACTGAATTTAAAACCGTATTCAGTGAAATACATTTTTCTAAAATGAAGTACTTTATTTTAAGATGCACATTTTTTTAAAGCTTTCTGTTTTGTAATGTATTCTTTAATCCAGCCTTAATTTTACTTGAAACATTTATTTATTATTATTTATTATGTATTATTTATAATTCATCCAGTTCAATTTGAAATCTGACAAATATTGTTGAGATATTATTCAGTTGTTGACTACATACAGACGTTAATACAACTGTTGGCTAATTCAATATACATAGGACTAAATCATAGCACAAGTTAGACATTATTGTGATGTTCCGGACCTTTGCATGAGGAGATTCTCTCTAAATGGACCTCGTTGAACTTTAAATGAATACCCCTGCATTAGAGACTCGAAGCAAAGTGTCATGACTTTGAATGTAACAGCCACTTGATGTACAGGTCTTTGATTAAGCTTGCATTCGAATTGTTTAATTATGTGTGGTGATTAGGATAATGTAATGAATGGAAGTGTATTCATTTTAACTCTAAATGAACAGTCAGACACAAATTACAGAATCACAGAGCAGGTTTGGCTAAATAAGTAAAGATCTGAAAGACCTACATTTATCTATTTAGCTGCTTTGGCTAACAGGATGACTAATGCTTCTTATGCTATGCTGAGTAAAAAGAAAGCCTCGCAGTAAAAAACGACAAAAATAAAATAGCTGACTTCAAACAACAACTGGGCTCCTGCTCATGAAATTCTGAAGGAAAGGATGATATCCTTTTTGATCTTCTTATCAAACACTTGATCACTACATCATTTTTTATTTTACCAACTGGATCTGAGGATCACTGAGATCCTCAGTCATCCCACTTGCCCTTCAAATTGTGCATGGGTCTAACTACTGCTCTTTTAACTTCTCTTTTTGAATGAAACCCCTTTTTATTGTCATATACATATACACATACACGAAATTTGACTTCTGCATTTGACCCATCCCTGTATATAGGGAGCAGTGGGCTGCCAATGACAGGCGCCCGGGGAGCAGCAATTAATCAAATATTGTACCAATTCTAGTTAACTGTCGGTGTAATAATGAATAATAATAATACCATTATGGATGTGGTTTGAATGGTGATATAGATTTAGGATGTGAGCAAAATAAGTGGAAAAAAAACTGTGGAGCATTCTATCATAGTGGTGGTTTTAGGGGATATATTGTCTTCTTAAATTGTAACTTTTCTATTTTTTTTTTTTTAAATGCTGACCGCCCCTCCTCTCTGTTTGAGGCTAGTTCATCTGTCTTTGTGTAATGTTGAAAGTATTTGATGAATTAGTGTAACATGCTGCACTCTGAAAAACTTTTAGGTTAAAATTCAAGTTACCTGAAACACTGGAATTGCGCCACAAGCTCACTAATAACAGAACAAATTTCTACATATAAAATTGTTTGAGAATTTATCCACTTTTGGCTGTGCTTGACAAGTGCTCCCCTTGTCTAAACCATTCATTGAACTTCTTGTTGCAACAAATGTTCCAACAGTCAATAGCAACACCAACAAAGAGTTTTGTTAAAAAGAAAAAAAAAACGAGGATGAGAGGACACATCAAAGTCGTGAGAGTCAATTGTTACATAAGTCCTGGAATCTACTCAGAGATGTTTCTTTCGGTTACTGATCTGAAGAAGGGCTCGTTTCTGGGCTTGTGGAACTCATCCCTCATTTCATTTACTACTTATTATTAAATACATTTTGGTAAGCCTAAACATTTACCACTCTTCATTTTCTTCCTGCAAAATCTCCCACACCAGTCCCTGTATGCACCCTCCACTGCAGCCTGTTCATTTGCAGCTCCCCTCTCCCCATCTCTCTTCCCCCCCATTCCTGAAACCCTGCATTTTTATTGTACTGCGGTGTCGCTCACCCAGCCAATCCTCTTCCACCACAACCTTGAGGAGGAGACTCCTTCCCTCCTGCTCCCTTGCTCTCTCGCCGGTCTGGAGGATTATCAAGACTCATTTACAATGCTGCTAGATTTGGCCAGATCTTCACACTCACACTGTGTGCCTGAGTTTAGAGAAGGGAGAGAGCGAGAAAGGAGCAGAATATCAGTGACAGAACTACAGCAGACTCTGAGGGTGAAAAGAAGGGGAGTTGGAAGGCTGTAGGCACTGGTGGGCGGAGAGGAGGAGGCTGAGCAGCTTCACTCATCCTTCATCACAAGCACCTTCTCCTTTTTTTTTTTTTTAATACAAAAGGAAAGACAAAAGGGCTGAGACATGTGTTGGAGAGGCGCAGTACAGACTTGACTTTTTCCTAAGACTGGAGTCTCTTTCTCTCTGGCACTTTATCTGGTGTTGACTGTCCACCTGCACTCGGCTATGTCTGTCCTGAAGTGGAGCAAACCCAGCAAGCGCTCCTCAGACTCCATCTGTGACGTGCTTCATCTGGTGAGATTCCTTCCTTGTATCACTTTTCTTTACCTGGCTAGCTCTTGCTAGTGCTGTGATAGATGGCAAGCTGCTGTTGTCTTATTCCAGTGAGAGTAAAACACCTTTCCTTTTCAGCGTTTGTTTCACACCTCCTCTTTGCTGCTACAGACGAAAAAAGAGGAAGCTGTGTCACTGTTGTGTCGCAGAATTGCCCCATAATCACTGAAGTGCTCCAAGGGATGCCAAAATGAAACGCTGTATGTAGGAGCTGAGTCTCTACAGCTGACTTGGACTTTGCAACAGTCAGAGAGTCACTGCAACAACGTCAGGGTAGTTTGTCATGTAGAGTTTTCTCTCTCTTGGCACTTCAAGCTGTGATCTTCTGCTTATCTCAGTTTCAAGAGGACAGACGTGTGAATTTTCTATCCACTCCATCGTGAGTGCCTTCATGCTTTGACACAGCCTTTAATCCATATTTCATTCGTTAGTGGAAATGCTCGTCTCTGGCATCTCCGTTTTTTTTCTAGTTATACCCACAACAGCCCCTCTTATCTACAAATTGTTCTTTTCATGTGATATTTAATTTATCTCCCCCGCGCTCTCTGTTCTTTCTCTTCTCTCTGCCATGTCATGACTGTCCATGCACCCAAAGCTGCCATGGTGTTAATTAGTCCAGATTGTGATTGTGAAGACTATGACTGAACTGTCATGGACTTTTTAGGCTTAGTAAAACTGGTCGAGCTCAGTTGACTAATTGGGCAGGAAAGAATCAGATTCATTTACATAATTTATCTTTCCTCTTTTCTTGGTATTACATTTATTTTTTTGGGGTTGCAAATTTGAATGCATTCTTCTGTCGAGTGCGTTTGTCTGTCTAACTTCTTTGCTGTCATATTGCAGTTCCATTTGGGCTGAATGTACAGTATCATCGCATCAGTAAAAGTGATGAGACATGTATGATGGAAGCAGATCTCAATGTGATTTGTTTTGACAGGATCTCTCACGCTGATTGTTTGTGTGTAAAAACGTACTGCATTCCACACATCATCAGCGGTAAATGTATTAATAAAGGGATGTTTCTGGGCAATACCTTTGTCAGGCAACTTGGCTTTTTAAAACCTAACCCTCTCCGCAGCTAAATGGTATTGTAAATTATTGTACTCTAACATTACTTTATTAGCAAAGTCATAAAAGTTGCCTAAATGCCTATTGCAGCAGCTCCTTAACTATACATTTAGCTACACTAGCATCAGTGCTTTATGTTATATTTAAGGGCATTTAAGCACTTCCCAGTTCATCTGTTGATCTGGGAGCTGCTTGGTTATTTTGGGAACATTGTCAAGAGGGACAAAACTGCTGTCGTGTCTCACATATGGATGTGTCTGCCTGATTAGATAACAATGCTGATAAACACTGTCATTTGCAAACACAAATGACAGTGGATAACACAATGTTATTTTCATTGTATCTAAGTGAATGGCATCTAACTCATCGCTGTTTCTACCTAGTGTCCACTCATTGGTGCAAGTACAAACATTTAGTCTATCAGTTATATGAACAATGCAAATGTGTATATGCACAGCAGTGACAATAGACTAGTAGCTCAGATCATCATTAAGACTGTTTGTATCGGAGAGTAATACCGTTCCATCTGCTGCAGCTGTTTGGAGGTTATATTCTTATTTCCCAGAGGAGCTTGTGGGTATGACAAGATACATTGCTTCTTTCTGACCTATAAAAGTTATTCTAATGCCAACCAGAGATCTGTCCGCTCACTGTTATGCACTCAGTGGTGTCAGTACCTGCGAGTGGTCCCGTTATGTGGATATAACTGTTTGTACCCTGCAACTCTCTCCTTCAATCTTTGTGTTACCTACTTTAAAATAAAAGGTATTTCATCTATTCCATTATTTCTCATGAAATGGAATAACATTTTGATGGGTATGAATGGAGTTCTTTTTATTGCTTTGAATGTGAAAAGCCAAAATGCTCTTATTGTTGTTATGACTGGTGAGGCTGTAGCCTGTTGCAAACAGAGTAAAACTATGTTAAGCCGTGTGGGCTGTTGCTGAGCGGAGTCTATTTTTGTCCAAAATGATAGTCTAATGCACATCAGGGCTGGTCTCCCCGGCAACCCATACTGTATGTGGACAGACACTGTTGTGTGTATATTTTGATTCTGTGAAAGAGATGAATCATTACACCACCGATCCGCCGGTAGGAGGAAAACACCAGGGAAAAGAGGGATGTGAGTGAAAAAGAGAGAGGCGGAGAGTCATTGTTATGACAGCGTGAAAATAGACCAAATTACTTTTTTTTTGGAGCTGCCTCTTTCTAGGCTCACACTCTGCACAGTTATGATCCACACCTGCAGGTAATATTTGAGGTGCTGGCTCTGTACTGACTGATCGATTTTTCCTATTATGAGGAGGTTGGAGTTACATAATTCCATCTAATTTTTACACTTTTTGGTCTCATTTTCTTGTAGAGTACAGAACAAGTCGCTGCTTTCTGCCGCAGTCTCCATGACATGAATCCCACGGAGTGTGTGTCCTCTTCGCCTAGCCCAGATTCGCCCTTCCCACCACCTGCAACGCTCCGACAGCTCTCCGATGCTGACAAGCTCCGCAAAGTCATCTGTGAACTCGTGGAGACTGAACGCACCTATGTCAAAGTACGTATCAGTCATCTTACTTATAAGGGGCAGTTGGTCTGTGTGAGTGAGCGTGTGTTCCTCTTGTCCATCGATCTATGTTCTGTCTGCCTCGGGTTGTGTTAGCCCTACACATTACCTATTCCACAAGACCGATCCATATTTATCTCTATGTCCCAGGAGATATGAGGGGACACAGCTGTGCCCTTGCCTGGATATTGCCTAATCTTTTTCTGCCTGGTTATAAATGTGGCTTGGTTGAATAACTGGGTTAGAGAGGGAATATAATGGGATAATGTCAAGGCTATTTCAAATGTTATACCTTTTTACAGGGGGCACATATATACGTATTATAGAAATCACATTATGTATGATACATGATGTATTTTACAACCTTCATAGGGGATAGCTTGATATTTGGTGGACTTGGCCTATTTGTTCTAATTACCCAGACATATCAAACAGACATGTGCGTGCAATGTATGCGTCTCTGTGTGCAGTTTGCAGTAGTGGGACTTTGTAGCTTAACTGCTCCTGTAATATAGGAGTAGACAAAATAATGGAAGACAAGGTTGGTGTTTGACAAATACTGTGGGCAACATACCTATCGTATCCTTGCTGACATATTGCTGTTATTTCTTTAGAAACTTAAAAAATATATATATATTTTTGTGACCAATTTGGGCACAGATGATTTTGCCTGCTTGGGGCTTTTTTTTTTTACTCATACCCACAAGTTTACTAGCAGACAGTTATAATATTTGTGTGATTAAGGTACTTCAGATTAAACATAATTTTGTCTATTCCATGTAGACATTTGAACTAACAAAGAACTACATTTTATTTTAGGCTACTCTTCTTTAAAACCAGTAATTATAAAGTCATTAGGAGGTTGCTTGAGTTGATTATTAGATCAACTATAAAAAAGGAAGAAACATGTAAATTACAGTGCAATGTTTTGTAGAACTAGCCATCCTTCTTTGGAAAGTATGGCTAGTTCTACTTTTTTGGCAGAACTACTAATTGATCTCATCGGCTTTCTTCAGATCAGCTTCAGTGAACTGTAGCCACAGTCATTCATTTAATTTCCAAACACCTGCTTTCACTTTTTTTGAAGTGAATCCGCTAGCTCCTCTATCTTTGATCTAGTTAGACTTTTCAGACTATCCCTGCAACTTAATTACCTATTCAGTTTTGTTGTGAGGAATATTTAAGCCTTATGTAAAGCTGCTTTTTTGTCTGTTATCCACATAATGACTTGGGTAACCCTGAATTACACACATAATCAATCACATAATTTACTCTTCTCTTGCAGGATCTCAATTGCCTCATCGGGAGATATTTAACCCCACTACAGAAAGAGACCTTCCTCACGCAGGATGAGGTATGTCAAATGCTCCCTGTGAGCCTTTAAAATGTGGTTGGCTTTTAAATGCCAACACTGTTTGAATGTTCTAAGAAAAGAGGGTTACATAATCATGTGACGAGTAGGCGTATACGAGGACAAGAGGGGTGGATGATGAGAGAGAGGGAGGGAGGTTTGCGAGAGATGTTTTACATGTACTTGTAATGATGAAATTCATTTGATTATTTTAATTTTGGAGTTTTTCCATGCGCTAACTGTAGCAAGGGACTAACATTGGATGCACCAGATAAGGACTATATTAGATAAATATAAATAAATACTAAATAGATATTAAAAAACACTTTTTAATGAGGAGCATTGATTTTGGCTTTGCTCAAATACCCTTTTCCACCAGCTGGATGTACTATTTGGGAACTTGCTAGAAATGGTGGAGTTTCAGCTCGAGTTTCTCAAGACCCTGGAAGACGGGACCAGACTTGTTCCTGATCTAGAGAAATTGGAGAGAGTGGATCAGTTTAAGGTATACCAAAAGATATGACCGTCAACCAGCATTTATTAACACCCATAAAGTATTTTATAACTACTGGTTAGGTAACTTCTCTTCCCTTTTTCACAGAAAATCCTCTTCTCCCTGGGAGGCTCTTTCCTGTACTATGCAGACCGTTTTAAAATCTACAGTGCTTTCTGCGCCAGCCACACCAAAGTCCCTAAGGTCCTTGTAAAGGGTGAGTAAATGTACTCTTTGGGTGACATTCCTCCTGGCCTCAAAGGAGAGGATGCATTTAATCATCAACCATCTGCCATATCCTGCAAGGCTCCATAAATCTGCTCTGCAGAGTTGTCAGCCAGACAGTTGTCCATTTGACCCCTGCATACTTTGAAGCTGGTGGCTCTGAGGACTAAAAGCCCAGCAGCATTGTATCATATATAATAAGCGGTTTTGAACATTTTATTCTCTCGCTAGAACACCCACTCCCGTTGGCTCTTAATGGCTTTGTTTGCTGTATATACATTCAATGAGTCAACTAGCTATTGGCCATATTGAGTTTGCGAGGTGTTATTTGTTATAAAGCTGTTTTTAAGGCCGTTAACAGATTATATCTGCCCACTTGTGGTTGCATGCTCTTAGATAAAATGACTCGTCTACCAAAAGCATGAAACAGTTCAGTCCTTTTGACTTGGCTGAAGGTCTATGGCTGTTTCTAATGCTAAAAGTAAAATAGAACAATCAAATACTGGGTCTGGGTTTGCACAAGAGCAACATGTTTATGCCATGAATATCAGGCAACATAAGCTTCCATTTTCAAAAGTACAAGCTTTATTACTGTGAATAACATACCTTAAATAAAATAATATGGGTAGCCCAAAGAGTAAAAGACAACACGCCAATCATTTGTGGAAAGGACAAAAAAAAAAAGAAGTGTGTTGCATTAAGTGTTTTATTGGTCATTCCAGCCAAAACCGATCCTGATTTCAAGGCCTTCCTGGAGGAGCGCAACCCGAAGCAGCAGCACTCTTCCACCCTGGAGTCATACCTGATCAAACCCATCCAGAGGGTGCTGAAGTATCCCCTCCTGCTGAAGGAGCTCTACTCGCTCACAGACCCAGACAGTGAGGAGCACTACCACCTGGATGGTACGACCCTGTCACAAGGCTGACTGAGAAGATGAAATCATTTTTGACAGACAATGCATACGGTCACAACAATTCAACGCAAACCATTTTCTGCTTGTCTGCAGTTGCCATGAAAGCCATGAACAAAGTTGCCAGCCACATCAATGAGATGCAGAAGATCCACGAGGAGTTCGGAGCAGTGTTTGATCTGCTCATCACTGAGCAGAGTGGTGAAAAGAAAGAGGTAGGTTGGACTAAAGTGGCTTGGCTCTGTTCTGTCATAGAAAGAGTACATGTGGAGTGACTGCTGATATTTTGTTTTTTGCTAGGTGGCTGATCTTTCTATGGGGGATCTGCTACTCCACACCAGTGTGACATGGATCAACCCCCCTGCCTCCTTAGGAAAATGGAAGAAAGAGCCCCAGATGGCCACATTTGGTATGTCAGAGATGATTTCCCTCCATGATTATGTAATGAGTAGGTCTAAGTCATATGCTTTAAGCTTTGATTGACAACTTGTGTGTTTTTTTCCATTACCATTTAGTGTTCAAAATGGCAGTGGTCTTTGTATGCAAGGAGGGATCCAAGCAGAAAAAGAAAATGGTATGTTTTTACAGAAGTAAGAAGCAACACCAGCGCCTATTTAGAATAAAACACATTTTGTTAAGGCATTGTAAATTCACTGCCCATGTGCCACTTTTAGAATACATCTGATGGGGGGGGGGGAAATTTGATTCTACGATGCACCGCGACTCTCTCAAAACGATTATGACTCGATGCAGAAAGCTTTCTTGCTATGTTGCACACTTTGGAAGTGGGATACAACATTCATCTCGGCGTGTTTACGGACACAGCGGTACTCTACAACCTCCCCAAAGCTAACGTCATGGAGTCACTGAGGAAAGCAGGGTCGGGTGGTAGTATCACGTTATGCGGGACATCTGTTACCACAGCATCTTGTGTCACCGTAAACGTGCACCTTATCACTATATGTATAGTTTTACCACATGTTCCAGAAGGCGTTATTTGTGTACGAAAGCTGAATGCTCATTGCCTATAACGGGAGGATTTGTTTTGAAGCGAAGTCTATATTATTTACTTGTGAATAAGAGCAGCTATGTTATGTCACATGACTCAGAACATGCTGAATTGTGTTTTTTCTACGAGGATGCTGCTACAGGCCCAATATTATTTATTTTCCTGTTGGTTCCCTTTGCAATGCTGGGATATGTAACACTCCAGTTGACACATCTCTTCTATTTGTTACTAATATTGAATTAATAACAGATAATGGAAGTAAATTCATCTGTTTTTTAATCATTACAAATATGCAGTGTTTAAAAAAAAATAGCAGATAAACACAGTAATAGAAAATAAATCATGTATATAAAAATTTTGATGGATCAAGAATCGATAATCGTTTTATAATCGCATCGTAGCCCTCTCAATCAGAATCGAATCGTGAGGTGCCGAGATTCCCATCCCTAGTCACGTGTTAAACCAACCTTAAGGCTGATTGAACTGGAAACAGCTCGTTTCACAAGTATAATTTCAGATTTTCTTTTGTTGCAATGATTGTAGGGTGGCTCCCATCGAGTCTCTGTATCTTCAGAAGAAAAGGATCCCTTCAGATATCGTCACATGATCCCAACTGATGCCCTTCAAGTCAGATCCTTGGCCAACGCAGGTAGACAAGTCAATGAATAATTTACAGCACTGTATTAAAATATATTCTCCCAAATCCAGAAATGATTATTCTCACCAGATTGCTCTGTACATGAGATCATGTGTGCGTGTCGATTACTTCCTCAGATGGTGACGGCTCGGCTGTGTGTGAGATTGTCCACACAAAGTCGGAGTCAGAGGGAAGGCCAGAGAGGACGTTTCAGCTGTGCTGTAGGTGAGGGTCCCCTCAAATAGAGGTAGAATTCCACTGGAGATTAAAGCTTGTGTGACACTGATACAGTCCTATCTGCTGCTATCTACAGAGTGACAAACTGATAAACGTGCCCTTCTATCTCCCTCAGTTCTCCAGAGAGTAGAAAAGACTTTCTGAAGACGGTACATTCCATCTTGAGGGAAAAGCACCGCAGGCAGCTCCTAAAAACGGAGAGTTTACCCCTCAACCAACAGTATGTGCCCTTCGGTGGAAAGCGCCTCTCTGCCCTGAAGGGAGCCCGTCCAGCCATAAATAGAGCAGGTACATGCCAGTCAGTGGCTACATTCACCTTGCAGCTCCAAGTGTCCAACTTCTGATTTGTTCTTTCTTAGCAGACACAGATTGGATGCTTTGGTATAATGTGAACAAAAAATGTCTGCTTTTAATTTAGAGATTAAAGCACCTTTTAAAGATTGAATTAATGTGGCGAGACACCGACATTCAAGCTTTTATTGGAAAAAGTCTTAGTTATTCTGTTCCGACACCATCGGGAGAAGATTCTCTGAAGTTGGACTTTAATGCTTTTAACTTCAATTCATAGTTTGTAACTGTAACTAAGAATCATCAGTAACACTTTCTATGACGCCCATGTCTGTAATGCGTTATGATGTGCTTATAGTACTGTTTACTTATAAATAATTATGAATATTTGTGAGTGGTTTTATAACAACACTCATAGCACAATATATTATAGCATTTAATAATGACTTATAAGGTCAATTACCAATACGTTATAATTGCTGGTCAGGATCATAGTGTATTATAATTCCCATAGTTGTAATAAATTATAATCTTTTCATAATGCATTATAATCACTGTTATAATGCATCGTCATTTGATAAGTTACCCAAAGTGGTTATTGTTTGTGTTAAGTAAAGTTTTTACAAAATGTATTTTACAACAATTAGTGTGTTTTTGTATACTTGCATTTTGTTTCCACTTAAAACAATGACCACTTAAAGTTCATTATAATCACATAATGTATACTTTTTGTAATGCATTGAACAAAGGTTCAATACATTATAAAAATATTTTTATAACAGTTATACTCAACCCTGTCCAGACAGGACAACCTTTGTTATACTGTGCTGTACAGTATTGCTCATTTGTTGATTAATCAATGGACCTTGTTTTTTATTAATATAGTCCTCAAAATCTGAAAAATGACTAATGTTAATGTGATGTTAAAGTAAAAGCTTTTGACCTCCTGTTTTTCTGCAGCATCTGCACCAACCAGGACTCTAGGCAGGAGGAAGTTAGTGCGCAACCGTTTCACTATAGACACCGATATTGTTTTTGACGGCGAGCCCGGACAGGACCTCGCTTCACCACAGGAGCCTGACTCAAATCAGCTGCAGCGGGACAACGAACCAGATAAGCTCCAGCAGCCTGAGTTAGCAGGTGACACAGACCGCTGGGTGGAAGAACAGTTCGACCTAGAAGAATATGAGGACCCGGAAGTGGTGAAGGAGACAGACATCCTTAGTGATGACGATGACGAGTTCTGCCAGACACCCAGAGCGTCGTCCGCTGAGGTCGACCTGGAGGTCCCCGTCATGGCTTTGTCCTTGGAGAGTGAGGAAACCAATGAGGGCGAGAGCCTTAAGTCCGCAAAGGCCAGTGGGACACCTGATGATGTGACGCTGTCCAACACAGACGAGCAGAGCGCCGTGATCGATGCCAACGTGGAGGATCAAAAGCAAACGGAGAAGGATGCGATTTGGGTAAGAAGGCAGCAGTCGGGTTCGTCCCCAGACTGTGGCACATAAAAGCTGAAGAGGACCGGCAGACAGCTTTACATGGGCTCCATAAAGATCAGTCTTCAGGCTTCACAAACAATGCATGGGCATTGACGTCGATTGCACAGCTAGTAGAAGTTGTATCCTTACTTTTGCTGAATGCTTTTTGTACAGGTAAAACCATCAGTGGAGCAATACAGGAATCAAGAACGAAGGGAGCTTTATCCCAAATCAAATGCTGGTACATAGAAGTCAAGTGTAAGCTTTCAGAGATGAACTAATGGTACAATCATGGAATCTAATCAGTTGCTTTGATTGGCATGGTTTGCACATTTGGGCAGCATAATATAGTCCTGCCTGCTGTTGCCAAATTGTGAGAACATTGATATTTGTTTTGTTTGTGTGACTCAGCGATATTATCATAGTTAAGGGCTGTATATTATTTGTCCTTAAAGAAATAGAATAACTGCAATGGACAGTGTTGTCTTGCATAGTTTACTGTACTTGTACATTTTCACATGACTATACACTGACATGTTTTGGTAACAGTTTTGTTATGTTAAGAGTTATGTAAAATTTTTGATTTTGATCTCTTGTTTTACAGACAAAGCTATCTTTTTAGCTTGGGAAATATTTTGTTTGTTCTCTTGTTACATTTAATAGTGGAATTATGTAATAGCCCCTATTGCACAGAGGCTAGGGGGATTTTTAAATAAGTTGTAACTTAACATAATCCTGTTTTACTTGAATTTGCTGTTTCATGTTTATGTTTTACTGTGAAACCATTTTCTTGTATTTTTCCTTTTTACTCTTCAGTATTGCCATTTAAAGAATGCTAAATGTTACATTTCATTCTCAGCGTGCACACTCTGTAGAGGATTTGCACACCAGTTATTATAAAAAGGTATTGTGTGTTCAACAACACTGTTCACTAGTAATGGATCACAAAGCAATGTTTTTGTTTAAATTATTCATATGTAAATTAATATGTTAGCAAAAAACATAAGTAATATTTTTTTCACAAAGAAAGTCCAAATTTGCTCAAGCAATCAAGGGGAAAGACTTACAGTATGCCTGAACAGTGAAAGACGTCATACTTGTAAACAATTCATTGTGCTACTAAGACTGCATTTTTATTACTGTGTATATAGAAAAATGTATTGATATCACAATAAATACAGTTGTTTCCTACTTCTCTGTAGTAACTCATAGTTCGTGTTTTTCCTAAACAGCCTAACTCATTTCCTGCAGCTCTTTAGACATCTTCCCTGAAAAATCTACACAAACATTAAGGAATGTCTAATCTGTGTAGTTTTCACTTCAGGCATATGCTCTCGCTTGAAAATAAAGTCGTGTGCATGCATATATCAGCTTAGAAATATGAAGACTAAAGTAAAGTTATCTTGAGAAATGGGAAATCCTGTGGTGTACACAATAAAGGTTAAAGTGAACACATTGGGCTGAATAAGAAAACGAGGAGCCATGCTCATGGAGTTCCACTCCACTTCTGGAGAATATTTTTTTGTATTGAGCAACTATTGTATATTAAGTGTCTTTCAGTGAGTGTTGGTGAGGGTCGGTTTGTAATTTCCACGGCTCTTTTTTGTCTAGAAAAATCATCTTGATTTTTGAGAGATGAAATGCAGGTTCATCTGTCATAAACTCTGCTAAACGAATTTAAATAAATAAAAGTAAAATCATGCCAATCGCAGAAAAATTGCATTAGCAAAGATGAACAGTGGTCAAAAGTAGACCCTGCAGCACTGACTGAAAGACGCAGTTACTGGGATATTTGCTCCACAACCCTACAAATATCAACTGAAATCAGGATCCCTGACGACAAACAACAAACATGAGCTTCACCAAAATGGCATTTACTGGAGGGCTATTGTGTTGTGTTCTGTAAAGTGTCCACCACCCCCTGTTTGTTTGAATGGCATTAGACAATTGAGCAGTTGATGATGAAGGGAGATGACATCTTTCTACAGGTGGCACATCCAGGGCTTAGCAGCGGAACTGCATTTTGAACAACAATAAAGCTCTTGCAGACGTTCAGTGTTAGGCAGGTATGTATGAAAAAGAGCAAGACAATAACAACAAAACATTGCATCACTTACACCCTCCTAATTAAAAGATTGATTTAGGCAGCCTGTTAAGTACAGGTGATGCGACATTATGCAGGGAATTTTGTTTGTTTACATCCCTCATTTAAGTTTGTTATTTTGAGTTGTAGACTAGATGCATGTCTTCCTCACTCCTTCAGCTGTAGTTACATTTTCAACCTCCTATTATGGCAAAGACCAATTTCATCAGCAATTTATAGCTGTACATGAGGTAGGCATGGCTGCACATGCCTTAGACACTATGAGCTATGGCTCCCACAGACCAATTTCCTCTTTTCGTTTTCTGTCTTTGAGTTCTGTGGACATCCTGTCACCCAGGCTCATTCCCCTCCACCAGCCCCCTCACTCTTGTCAATCACCACCCTCACCACAAAAGCTGAGGCTCTTCCTCAGATAAAGAGGAAAGATCACTTCACTGTGCTGTAGTTTCGGCAGCAGTGCTGAATGACTAAATGACACTGAAATGGTACAGGGTTGCTTTGCTAATGCACTTGTTTTGAAGGACCAGACTTAGATCAGGCTTGTGATGATTTCTGCATCTTCAATCTAAAAATGAACAATTAAATGTGATAGCAGGGGAAGGAATCTGGAATTACATGCAATTCATCTCTTTTAAAATATCTCAATCTTATTGGGCCAGGAATGTGCAGTCACATTTACATACAGCAGGTGGCGCACAGTCTGTTGTAGATCTAAATTACTTCCTGTGACACTGCACCAGCACCAACTTACAGCTTTCTGCGTATTCAGTTACTTCCATTTGCATCATATTTTTAATCAAACACATCTCACATCAAAATCCCAAACTCCAACACCGGCAGCTTAGAGGTCACATATACAGAAAATACTTCACAGCACGTTTGTATTTGAGTGCAGTTCAGTTATGGGTTTCTCAGCTGCTTTAAACGTAAACAGATGCACTCATGTTTAGGATGTGACGATAGTATCACTGAGCAAACCTGCTCAACAGGCTTTCCAGTTTCTGTTCCTGTTTTGTGACCTCTCCTGCTACAGCTACAGTTCCGGCTCGCAACCCTCCTTTCCTTTTTAGTCTCTCCTACTTGTCAGAAACATGGTGACCAACAGGGTGTTACCTTTGCTCGACCAACTGAAGTTTGGATAAAGGAGTGGCTCTTTGTTAAGATCTGTGAAATCCCCCATTGATTCTCCATATCTGCAATCAGACACCTGGTCAGATTTAAAGATTGTTTTAGTCTTAGTTGAGGCAATTTGAAATGCTCATTTTCATAGCAGCATAACAAGTGTCAAAACTGTAGGGTGACTACACACCACGTGTTTCCTGGGACAAAAGGAAATAACATGTTTCAGTAGTCTGACCTAATACCTTTTTATTTAAAAATGTGGATTATTTGTAGTGTCCTTTATCCATAATGTTAACAGCTCAATCACTTGCCAAATCACATCTCCAGGGCTAGATAGGGTACAGTATGGAAATATACTATGGTAAAGGCAGGTGAAAACTTGTTATCTCCAAATGTAATTTCTTTGCATGAAATAAGTTACAGTTTTGAGCATTTAGATTTTATCCAACTGAGTTTGAAGCGGTTTACAAGCCCAAGACGTATGGCCTAGAGAAGATCATGTGAACTTTAAAGTCACCAAAAACTAAACTAGCAAAGTTTCCATTTGGCAACAAATCATACCCTTTTCATCTGCGCTTGTCATGCATGAAGAGCAATGATGACAAATGAGAAAAAGATAAATAAATGCAGAGTACTTTGTACCCGAAACACTGGTAAGAATAAAAAGGTTGGGTCAGTGAAAACCAGTGAGATGACATTACAGGCATATTGATACTACCACAGACTTACAGCTCTGCAAAAGAGATTGGCGTAGCAGTCTCTTCATAAGACGACAGAGACTGCACATCCTTCTGAGCCATGAGAGAAAAATTGGAGGTTTTCGCTCTGGTTCTGGGCTTTGTCGGCCTGGTTGGGACCATAGCTGTCACTGCCCTGCCCATGTGGAGGGTCTCCGCCTTCATTGGTGCCAATCTCATTGTGATGGAGATACTCTGGGAGGGCTTGTGGATGAACTGCTACAGACAGGCCGATTTCAGGATGCAGTGCAAGGTGTACGACTCACTGCTCATTATCCCACCAGAGCTGCAGGCAGCCAGGGGGCTCATGTGTGTGTCCATAGTCCTGGTTGTCATCTCCCTGTCCGTCACAGGATGTGGGACCCGAAAGAGCAGCTGTTGTGGTGACAATATGAAGAGCAAGAACATCACCCTGGCCTTAGCGGGTATTTTGTATCTGCTGTCTTTTCTGACCACGCTCATCCCTGTCAGCTGGGTGGGCCATACTGTCATCAGCAACTTCAACAACCCACTGGTGCTGGATTCTCAGAAACGGGAGCTGGGGGAGGCCCTCTTCATTGGCTGGACCACTTCTGGTATACTGCTGATCACCGGGGTCATCCTTCTGTTTATCTACAGCAAACGCAGATCAAAGGAGGAAGGGCCTTACAGCGACACGTATCTTATTGAGGCGAGGGATGTACCGAAAGAGGAGAGTGTGTACCTAGAGAGGACGCCATCCAGCTTTCATAAGCATCACGAATATGTGTAAAGAACTGAACTGTACTGCCTGAAATGTGCAACTTCGAATTTATACGTTTCTAATATTTAAAAGATATGATTATGTCAAGAGTGTTCAAATTAAGTATAAATGTATTGTTTTCACTACCTTAATTACTGTGACTAAAATTGCTAATGTACTACTGTTCTTATTGCACTATAAATGGTTCTTCTCTTGTCCATCGTTTGTATTGTCTGCCCAAATAAGGTACAATAAGATAATCCTTTATTAGTCTCACAGCGGGGAAATTTGCTAATTCTTCACAGTGTGAGTGATAGTTGTACATATAAAACTATTCGTACTTGGATAAGCTTATTAATGTAATCAGTAACAATTGATTTTGCAATTCTGTACCGTCATGCCATTTGTTTGTGCATTTTAGCTTATCAACTGTCACTTAACTGCTTAATTCATTCTGTTCTTGATCCTTTTGATTAGGTAGTAACTCATGCCAAAGTAGTCACATCAACCTAGTCAACAGAAAATAAACAGTCAATAAAGATTTGATTCTTCATTTGCTTGTGTGATTGTATTTTTTCTATTGCATCCCAACATTTGAGTTAACCCTCAGTTTGACTGCAACTACACTATACTAAAAACTAAATACAGCTGAATAGTAAATAGTTATTCAGTGCATGCACAAATTATCTACAAACACACTGGTTGTATGTTTCCGATGGCAGAAAGATTTCAGTGTGGCGTTGACAAGCTGAGAACTGCTGGCAAACAGACAAATACTGTGTTACAATGAAACCAATCCTACTCAAGTTTCTATGCTCAACACCTTTTTATCAGCTCAGGTTACATACAGAGGAGACAGTTGGACATCATTGACCATCCCATAAAAATACCTAAATAAAAGGAAGACAATGTAGTGTTCTTGTTTCACATATTAGTTTCCCAAACTACAAATTGTTCTCTTACCTATTAGTTTCAGGAGGTAAGAAAGACCACACATTTAATTTATACATTTTTAGCTCCAAGTTCCAACTAGTAAAAGAAAAAAGATTGTTTTTTTTTAATGTTTATATAGTACAATTTTAGCCATCTCATTTGCTATCTAGATTATTTATTTAGTTTAAAATAACAATATTGTTCTGTGTAGTATTGAAACTGTGTTGAAATGTCTCATGGCTAAACTTTAAAAGAGATGAAACATGCTTTGATCAACTGTGACTTTATAAAGTGATTTATTTAGTTTTTGATTAAGTGTTCTTAATCACAAGACCAAATGGTTGATTGTTAGTAGTGGGAGTCGTATTTCATTCAAAACAACAAGCACTCTTTGTTATGTACCTGTTTATCTGTTTGTAAAGCAGCTCAACCAGTAAGGTTGCATTGCATCCTTAGCATTTCTTTTGTGGGTGTATAAGTTCCTTGACTTGCTTTTCTCCTCAGATCTGTTTCTAGAGCTTGGGGAGTGCTGTCTTTGGCTCTCTGTGCGATAGCCGCAATGGCCTCTTACACTGCTTACAGTGGCTACACCAAGCCACCTCAATCTTACGCAGGTTCTTACTATGACGAGAAGCAGGCCAAGACATATGCAGATTATCAAGAATCTCTATATGAGGAACAAAAGAAGAAAGAGAAGAAAGACCGTCGGGACGCCATCTGCTGTGAGGTAGTGGCCCTCATCATCGGTTTCATTGGACTAATCGGAGTGGCAGCCGTGACAGGCCTGCCGATGTGGAAGGTCACAGCTTTCATCGAGGAGAACATCATTGTGATGGAGACCCGCTGGGAGGGTTTGTGGATGAACTGCTACAGACAAGCCAACATCAGGATGCAGTGCAAGGTGTATGATTCCCTGCTGTTTCTGCCCCCCGACCTTCAGGCTGCTAGGGGTTTGATGTGCAGCTCTGTGGCCCTGGCCACCTTCGCCCTCGTCGTTTCAGCAGTGGGGATGAAGTGTACCAAAGTGGTGGACCATCGGGCTCGCACCAAGCATATTGTTCTTGTTGCTGGAGGCTGTCTGTTCCTCTTGGCCTGTCTCACTACCATAATCCCTGTGTCCTGGACCGGCCATGTCATCATCAGGGACTTCTACAACCCTCTGCTGCTCGATGCCCAGCGCAGGGAGCTTGGGGAGGCTCTTTACATCGGCTGGGTGACCTCAGCTTTGCTTTTCACTGCCGGAGTGATCCTGCTGTGCCGTCATGCTCCCCGCACCCAGGACTCAGATGAAAGGATTGTATACAACCCCGACGGAAATCTCTACCAACCTGCATACACGTACCAGCCAGCGTACACGTACCAGCCAGCGTACACCTACCAGCCTCCCTACTCAGCACCCCCACCAGGATCTGTAGCATACACACCAAGTCAGTACTAATGAGGGAAATCTAACACAGAGGCAATTTTGGACACCTTTATTTATTTTTTTTTGACTTGCCAAGATTTGGCACATTTGAATGAGTTTTAATTGACTAACATGCCCAAAGGCTGTCACTGGAAATGGCTACATTTGTCATTACTTTCTCAAACTGCTGATTGAAATTCATCATGGAACTGATGGTGTTTTGATCATGATGAACTGTGCTGAATAATGCTTTGTTTGTTTCCATATGCTTAGTTTACACTAAATTATATCAGTCATTCAAAAGTATTTTTAATCTGTATTAATACAATAGTTGTTGATATCACTGCTGACATGCTATTTGAGGACAAAGTATGCACTAGGCCTCCAGATGATTTGTGTTCATTGCTTTGTTTTTGTTGTAAATGTACACTATTTTTAAAAAAGCTGGCCTATATAAGGTCAATTGTTGTTTCCAATAAAGGAAGAGGTAATGTTGACAAATATTTTTTGTGAATTTTGTTTTTCTGTTGCCTAATTAAGAGAGGCGCAATTGATTAAGAAGTAAGGGTGAACTATTGCTTACACGACGGCCAGTGTCTCATTTCCTGCCAAAAGCTCTCAAGTTTGCCTTGGATTCAAAATGTCCTTCTGAAACGGCTGCTGTTTAGCTCACGGGTGAGTAAATGGAAAGTTATGTTGTCTCCATTGTTGTCAGTAGAAAAGGGCCTAAACTGGTAGAACCAGACTGATCATACAGGTCCACCCACAATGCAAACCAGCCCAGACATTTCACTTCAACCAAGCCAGAGTTGCAATTGCAAGCTTTTTCCTGAGCACACACAGACACAAGATACCGAGAAAAGAAATTCGATAAGACAGTGACACATGGGTACACAAGTATTACCCCCATCCCATGAAACACACACACATAGTGCAAACAATTATGTAGAGTTTCTAAATGCTTTTTTCGCAAATATTTTGTGTATACCATGCCATTACAGTTGTATTTTTCAGTAATTCCTTGTAACATAAGGGACACCACAGTGGTGAACGATCTTAAGTTCAAACAACAAACAGACAATTGTAAGCACCAGAGCTGATTCATGACTTCGATATCTGTAGATATGGTAATACATGAACATAAAGCATATCTTTTTCTAAATAACCCCCTTGCCTTGTTGAATAACACCCTATTTTTAATTTCTAAAGCTCCCTTGTGAAGTGTGATCTGAGAATGTAAATCGAGACTTCTGAATAAACAAAGCGGCAGCTTAACAGCAGCTCCTGGGGTTTGGTGTACAAAGAAAAAACAAGGCCTGGGGGATACTGTTTCTTAGCAACCGGTCGCGATTCCCACCCCTCCCATTCTGGTGTCCTGTCCACAGGGAGGAGGCTGTACAGGTGAACATCAACCTGCTCCTCCTCCACTGGGATGCAAAGTAAATCCATCTACTGCTTCCTACTATAGTCGCACCGTGTCCGCACATTATTGTACGTATGAGTTTGGAGGAATAAGAGGAGGACAGAATGGCCAACTCAGCACTGGAGATAGTGGGTTTGATATTGACCCTGATTGGGCTGATTGGGACGGCTGCAAGCACTGGGATGCCTATGTGGCGAGTCACAGCCTTCATTGGGGAGAACATCATTGTTTTTGAAAGCCGCTTTGAGGGTCTGTGGATGAATTGCTTTCGGCAGGCCAACATCAGAATGCAGTGTAAGGTATACGACTCTCTCCTGGCCCTGCCCCCCGATCTACAGGCGGCACGGGGGCTCATGTGCTGCGCTCTGGCATTGAGTGGCCTCGGTCTGCTGATCTCTTTGCTGGGGCTGCAGTGCACGTCGTGTATCGAAAACAATGATCGGGTCAAGCGGCTGGTCCTCATCATTGCAGGAACCATGATCATGATGGCTTGCATCTGCGTCCTTATCCCAGTGTCCTGGACAGGTCACGTCATCATCAGGGACTTCTACAACCCCTTGCTGATAGACGCCCAGCGAAGGGAGCTCGGTGAGGCTCTCTACATTGGCTGGGTGGCCTCTGCTTTCTTGTTCGCTGGAGGATGCATGTTTATTTGTTGCAATCTGCAGTCCGAGGACAAAGGTTCAGAGAGGTATGTGTACTCAAAGACCTCCAACTACATGACCTATCCTCCACAGCCCCTGCAGCCTCAACAGCTGGTGCGACTTCCCCAACCACAACCCCAGTTTCAGCCAGTGCTGTCAAGGCACCCATCAACCAACTACAGCTACTATTCCAGATACCCCTCTGTACGCAGCGGGGTGGCTTATCTCTGAACACCTAAACTGACTGAGGTAATGATGATCACAGTAATAGTTCAGATATGCAAGGGGATTTTTTAATAAGTTATGGATTGGCACTGTAATCTATGACACATTTCAAATTTTAAAAAGTTTAAAAAAGGAACATTTCAATAAATACATAAACTGTGAATGCAATTGGATCGAATCTAGAAGGACGTCTGTTTTAAATCACTCACAATATACATTATTTGAGGAGTACTTAATGTCTTGTTGAAGAGCAATAGTTACAGAATCTTGACATCAACGACTTATATCATACTCCAGACTGTAAGCCAATACATGTTTTCCATTACTTTTATGAGTGTTGTATATCAAATTTTATACAGACAGATTTATTTTTTGTAGTTTAGCTTACCAATTTTGTATGTGTATGCTTAATATAACAATTCATGCAACCTTTAACTAATGAGTAAAGTGACACAAGTGTATTTGTTGTTGTCGGCACATATGACTGAATTACGTAGTAACACAGACAGTTTATACTCAACAGATGTTTCAAGATCTTGCAGAACCAATCCCCCTAGTACACACAGTCCTCATATTGTTCTGCTTAGTTTTGACCAGTATTAGATACAGGATCAGGCGTTTACAGGAAGTACCCTTAGGACAGCAAATGCTAAATTGGTGACTGATTGTGAAGGAAATACACAGGCATTTGTTTCTATATTCAAAACATTGTGTGTGTATCCATTCAATCGGAACACAATTGTAAGTCTTTGTTTAAGTTTGGTATGGTGCCCTGGAGCTCTTGGGAACTAATAGAACTGAACAAATAGCTGAGTAAACATGAGATGCAGGTTTAAGACTGCTTGTTAAAGGTGTGGACAGCTGTGTTAGTGTTTGTGAAGAAGCCAGTCAGGGACGACCTGGCGGCATGATCATGTGATAAGAATTTGCAAGTCACTTTGAATACAGAGTTTTAGACCAAACGTTGTCTATCTAGGTTGATCCGACTCCATATGTTTGAGCAATTAAAGAACATTTCTGTCTCTGCTCAGGGAAGTATATTAGCTCTTGAACTATTTGGTCAGCTCATTTCATTTTCAGTGAGTTCAAAAGCTGTAGAACCTCAATTCGTTATGCAACGTATGTAATGACATTGATGTCTCATACTGAAAATATGTGGTGGTGTAATGATAATGTTGTCTTTCTCCATTGTTGCTTAATGTTAAATCAAACAACCTGTTTGTCTATGTATGTCTTATTGACAACCCTAGATTTATACAAATCTGGCATATTTCAACTTAAAATGTATAAAACTATATTTCTGGTACTCAAACAAATCAATAATTGTGTCTGGACTGTGTGATGTAAGGTCCATCTCTGTTTAACCACATTGATAGTCATTTCTGCTCTCCTGTGGACAACAGTAGTACTGCAGGAGCTTATGTGCTACAAAGTATATTTCTGTGCTTCTGAATTTGTATCATATATAATTATGGAGAATAAAAACATGGCAAGTGTTAAAAATTTCTGAAGTTGTTGTGAAGCGGTTTCCGGCATATCGGTTTACTGCTGTTGAAGCAGATGGCACAGATATACCACTGTAGCCAGAGGAACCATAAACACAAAATAAGCAAAGGTTCTTTTTACCCCCATTGCCCTGAGCCAACCAGGTGATAGCAAAGCATCTTTCCCACAACAAACCACCTCTTACACAAACTGCATCAGATGAGAAGATCGACGCTGCCTTGGACACATCTCTGACTCAGACTCTGTGATATTTTACGAAAGAATCAGAATTTATAGTCTACGTGAGCTAACCTTATTTTGAATTCAGACACAGCTGATTTCTTGAAGGCTGCACAATGGTTCAAGGTGTTTCAGAGATAGCCGCAATGTGCGTCGGCCTGATCGGGCTGATCGGGGCGGCGGCTACTACAGGGATGCCCATGTGGAAGGTGACAGCTTTCATTGGGGAAAACATAATTGTGATGGAAAGCCGCTGGGAGGGCTTGTGGATGAACTGCTACAGACAGGCCAACATCAGGATGCAGTGTAAGGTCTATGACTCCCTGCTGTTCCTGCCACCGGATTTACAGGCAGCCAGAGGTCTGATGTGCTGTTCTCTGGCCCTCTCGGGTCTGGGGCTCCTTGTGGCTCTGGCAGGAATGCGGTGTACATCCTGTATTCAGGATAATGAGTGGGCTAAGACTATCATCCTGATGGTTGCAGGTGGTATGCAGTTTGCGGCCTGTATCTGTGTCTTCATCCCCGTGTCGTGGACAGGTCATGTCATCATTAGAGATTTTTATAATCCATTGCTGATTGATGCCCAGAGGAGGGAGCTAGGAGAGGCTCTCTACATCGGTTGGGTGACCGGCGCCTTCCTCTTTGCCTCTGCCATGTTGTTTGTCTGCCGCCGTATACCCTCAGATAAAGGCTCATTCGACGTGTACCACCAAGCCAACTTGCTCAGTTACAAGCCAGCACCCAGCAAGCCATCTCTAATGAGGTATCATCCCATCTCAAGTATTTCCAGCCAACATTCTACAGCATACCATCCTTCTCTGCAGAGCAACGGCTATGTTGGACAACACCTTGCAATGCCACTGCAAAACATCCCTCCTGTTGTCTATAACCCGGGTCTGCCTGACAATGCGTCACTGGTATATCAAGGTGGTATGGCTCACCATTCCTCAATACGGAGTTCTCCCCATGTTGGAAGCCTGTATACGCCAGGCAACTCCTTTTACACAAGCCAAAACTCCACGCCATATTCACAGGCTTATATCGGCGATCCTACTGCATCTTACCAGTCCAGTTTTCATCCGGTTCCACACACTCCTGTTTTCATAGGATATAAATCATCAAGACTTCAACCAGGGTCTCTCGAGAGCCGTGCTGGTGTATACATATAAAGAACAGAAATTGTGAGTGAGTTTTTATTGCTGGTTAAACGTTGAAGACACAAAGCACTATGCTTTTCATCACAACCAAATTTAAAGTTCTGTGCACTTCTGTGTCGAGATGAAGGTAAAATGATGTTTATTCTGCTTGTATTAGAATTATCCTGACGCCCAGAGTAAATAGCATGTTCATCTTGTTTCTACTATTTACACAAAAAACTAAATATGGGTTGTTTGATCTGCTTTTGTTGTTAGTGTAAATAAAGGTGTCATGTGCTGTTTTAATGAAGACCTGTTAAGGGCGTACTTTCACAAAATAGAGATTTATGAGAAATCATCTGTTTGGAACATCGTAGCCTTATCTTTTGCATATTTGTAACCGTTTGTTTATTATATTTTTAAATGTTCTGTGGTTATCATTACTCGTGTTTCAATGCATTTTTTTTTTTTTAAAGTCTTTTTCTGTCAAGATGTCTTTGTAACCACTCAAATAGAAGCAGTGCTGAAGTATATGATTAAACAACCTACTTGTAGATAGTTATAGTTTGTATTAGCAATGATCATTTTGAGTTACAAACGCTTAGTAATTAGCAGGTGGAGTTCACTCAGCAACTTAGGGTTAGGAGTTAGTGGCTTTGAAGGGGCTTTTTGTTTTCTAAAGATGTACAGATCAGGTAGATTCTAGTTGTATAGATGTTGTTTTAAGGCCTTGTATGTAACAATCGCACTGTACCCAAAGTCTATTTCTTTTAAACTATTTCTGTCAAAATATTTTGATGTAAACAGTGAGACTACCTGAATTTGTCTTCACAGACACAGAGAGCTATTGAACATTTATATGAATTTGCTTTGGGTCAAAACCACCAAACACTCCATCTGCTGTGATTATTGCTTGATAAAAGCAATAACATCCTGGCAGTTATGCAAACACCATGGTGGCCTGAGCTAATCTCAAACATTGTCATTAAACACCACAAGAGGGCAGCAGAGAATGGGAAGAGTGTCCTAAACCCTGAGCAGACCTCAGCACAGTGCAGGTGTCAGAGGAATAATACCTTCCTTCCACTTTCATTAGCCAAATCTTTAATTGGAGCAACTTCATATTACGACAATACATTTGAACATGATCACCTAGTCTAAGCTACGGGCTGTATAACACGGTGGAGTAAGTGAATTAAATCATATTGTATTATTATATTCTGTATCTTTGCTTTCAACAGCAATGGGGGAGTTTTTTTTTTTAAAATAAAATCATAGTTATACTAAAATTGGGTTTGTGATTCCAAAACAAGATGCTCATATTCTGTAGACTACTTAATTTACAGGTTACCTAGCTTTTACTTTTACATCTCCAGTGGAGGCTTTACAGCATATTTTTCCAATTAAGGACGTTCTTGAACTCAGTGTGTAAATGGAGACATTTTTCTCAACTATGAGTCTCTGATTTTGCTAATTTCGGGGGAATTAAATAATAGGGAATGAGATTACACTAATCCCAAAAACCCATAAACCACCACTGATGCTTCTGCCTCGCTTGGGGAGCAGTAGTTTTGAGCATTATCACCAGTTGCTGATTGGTGCAGCTGAGCAACCAAGAGAACTTCTAACTTCCATCCCAAACTACTCAAGTGGGTAAAGGTAACATAAACATTTGACTTTACTTTACTACGAGACTGTGTCAGATAAGGAATTTGAGGTAGTTAATCTTCAAGGGAGCACCACAGACCAGTTTGAAGATTAGATTTGCATTTCTATCAGGACTGGAGCAAAGATTTAATCATTCCTCGGTGTAGCAAAGCAAAGACGTTGTCGAGGTCGAATGTTGCCAGATTTGAAGTTAATCTTCAGGACGTATCCATGTTTGCGGATTAGCAGCTTGGTTTTGCCCTCAATTGAGCGCCTGCACGGGAGGGATGTTCAGCTGTGTCAAGTCAACCAAGGACAGCAAGATCAAGATCGGAAACAAGACATGTTTGATTTCATAATAAAAGCATTCAAATGATAAGAATATCAGGTACCAATAGGAAACAAACATATAAATAGAATATCTACAGGACTAAAGCCTTGGAGATAGGGAAATGGAATCATAAACAACCCACGTTTAGTTGAATATGGGAATTAGTTGTATGCAGGGGAAAGTATGGACAATGTAAGATTGATTAATTAATTAATTAATTATATAAATAAATAGGCACAGCACTGGAAAAAAACTTATTACGGTAAATATTTGTTCAATAAACAAATAAGTAACATATTGCAATAGTTATTGTGAAATGATCTACAATCACTTAAATATACATACACCTACAGCGTGATCTGCAGCAAAGTTGTATTGGAGGTCTGGTATTTTGTTTGTTTATCACACACATTTAATGGCGGACATAGATGCAGCCTACTCCTCTTTATATATGTTGAACTTCTCTGTTGTTGCCAATTCCCCTATAGGCTGGGTGATGAGGAGAAAATCAAATATCACAATTTGTTTTACCAAATATTTCAATATCAATATTGCGGCAATATTGTATGGTTGATTTCTATGTCCATTTACAGAAAAAATAACAATTACTAGTAATGTGGACATAATGACTAAGTAGGTAAAGGGAAATAACACAACAGCTAGAACAGTCTGCTTCGTTCAACAAATTACATCACTTTACTGTGAAGCAGCCTGTAAAACCAGGAAAAGACGACACTTATAGCTTACTATTATATAAAATGATCCAAGATCTAACAAAATGATCTAATCTCATATCACAATATCGTTTTAATATTGAGATATTGCCCAGGCCTAAATTCACATTTTATTTTGAAAGTAGTAATCAGAAATGCCAAATTTCTATTCATGCAAGCTTGACAGGAGGAGCCCAGCGCACGGTCCTCCTCCTCAGTTGCAGCCCACTATTCAAGTGTGCACGAGAAAAGAAACATGATAACAGGGATGTGTGGAGAGTTGAACATGGGGAGAAAAACCTTACTGGCACATTCAGGATTTTAGAATGGAAAAACTGGAGTTCTTTTGATCAGGGGCAGCTGCAGGTGGAGTGTGTTTTTGTTGTTGTTTTTTTTCCTCACAATGTGTGAGGGATGGATGTGGGTCGGTTGTCAGTATATTTTCGTTACGGATACAAGGACTGGCAAGTTATCAGCATGAATTACCAAGGGCAGAAAAACTGATATCAATGTTAAATTCGACTCTGGAGCGAGGACCATGGCGAAAAGGAAGGGACTGTTATTTGCACTGCTGTACTTTATAGCAGAGTTCTGGCTCACTTCGCAGCAGGTCCTGAGAATTGGTAAGTAGTAAATTTGTCAGATTTCTTTTGTCATTAATATAAATACTGCCACTATATGCTTTTTTTCAATATTCAATTATATGATTGCAAGACCTGGGTTGAGGGCCATTTCATTTGGGATTGATAGCCTACTCTACCTGTCTTTATGTATGTAATAAAAAAATAACAAAGGTTGACCTTTGTGGCATTATCATACGTTATTTCCAATATCCCACAGTAGCGTTGCTTCTCTCTAAAGATGAACAAATAGATACTGTATTTAAATTAGAGACAGCCAGGGTAATAAATGCAGAAATCATACATGGGGAAGTCATGCAAGGATATCCATTCATAGCAATTGTGCAGGTCATGTGTTGTAGGTCAGTTAATGGAAGCAGGATAACCTTTAAGTTCTGGCAATATCAAGCAAAACTTAAAATAAAGAATCACTGTGTTCACGATACATATGTGTTTTAGTTGTACATGTGTATGTATGTTGCTGTGTGACTATACTACTCTTGTCACTGGATGATGCAATCACATTATCAGTATCCTGTAACTATCCTAATGGACATACAAGTGCATGCCTATGTTATTCAACAGTAATCTTATATAAAAAAAAAATGTTGTGATCTTTTGTACAGTGAGTTTCATTGTTAGATTTGTTTTTCACAATGGAGGTACACTGGGGATAGAGTGCTAGGTAGTCCACACAGAACAACTCTATTGGTTTTCATAAAAATCATGTTAATCCACTTTTGTTGGCTAATGCCAAAGTCTCTGTTCCTCCATGTTGACAGGCAGATCAGAGGCAGATGAGTGATTAAGTTGGCCTATGACTTCATCTGAAAGCATGTACTGTTGGCATGATGATATCCTTGGCACTGAGGAATGTGAAATGGATACAGAGCTAAAGAGTATAGGGTGGACCGTATCAGTGAAAGGGAGGCTTCTCTTCTACCTCACAAACTCAAAAGTTATTTAGACTTTGTGCATATGTATGCTGATGCACAATGACACCTATGAGCGTGGATCTGAGTCCAAAGTCTGCTGTTAAGCCTTTGAGAGTTGACAAGAACTCTGCTTTCACTTGTAATTAGACAAACAGAGCTCTGGCTCCAACTATTCCCCTTTGATTTCTGATGTAACTTTGTAACAAAATGAATGGGCTCTGCTCATGTCCCATTGGTTATCCTCCATTCCTCTAATGGGTTAGAAGATTGCATCACAAAAATGACTTTCTAAATTCAGGCCTTAGGACTCTCTGCTCCGCTCAATGCCAAAGGCCACTCACTATTTTTCTAAATTCCTTCTACTTGTAAAGACTTTAACATTCAGATTTGTGCCGTTGCATAACTTTGAAGGCTAATAGGCCAGTGCCACCTCCCTGTTCTATCAGTCCCGATCTGTTCTCTATATTGTTAATCTCTCTAAATCATCTATCACTCTCTGAGGCCACCTAATCTTCGTCATTCTCTTCATGACCCGCACACATCATAATCTCTCCCATATGGTGTGTGGCTTCGTTCAATTAGCATTTCTCTGTCTTGGCAAGTGCTGCCATCAGATTGTGACTGGCTTCCACTCTTTCCACTGGGGTTGGTAATAATGGTAAATCTTCTCCCTCAAGCCCTTAAACAACAAACAATAATCTTCTTTATGCAGAAAGTCTTTTCAAGCAGATCTCATCGTTGGGGAGTGCACAGAAGCAGCAGCTTGTGGCTTGGCCTCCACTCTATCGTGCTGTTTTTTAAAGTCCTGATTCCTAAATTAGGTGGATTTGATACAGATTATTAAACAAGATTTTTATTCTTTCAGTTTAAATGTTTTGTTTTTGGGTCACAAGCAGCGATCCTATAAACAGAGGAACCTCAGTGCTCCACATCAAACGAAGATATTAGACTGGTTAGGACCTCCTCATTCATTCACAGTCTGGCATGAGCCCAGGTTGGAGTGGTGCTGGTGGTGTTGTTGAGGTGGGGGTGGGGGGTCTCACTGGGAACTGGCCCAGGATGGGGAGAGGGGAGAAAGCAAAACACTACGTCATTGTGTTCCTCTGCCTTAAAAGACTCCTTCATGTGATAATTGCACAGAGTCACAAAATCACAGATTAGAATCAGGGCCTACAGATCAGTTCCTTAATATTAACCTCTTACTTTGGGTTTCTGGATTAAAAAAGGTCCACCCAGCTGCCTAAATCTGAACTCTTATTTCTCTTGCTCTGAGCCCTGAAGGAAGGAACAGTCGTCTATAAAAAGCAACGCCTAAGGCTTTATCAGTATTTGCCTGCAGCACAAGCAGAATCTTTTGTTTTTGTGACCTCCTAGCATGCATCACCCCACAGCATTGTCTGGCCTATTAAAGATGAGACAGAAGCTCAGTGATCCTGAAAATTATATTGGAAAGTAATTAACGGTAGCTATAGCAAGAATTTCCATTCCACCTTTCATTATAAATTGCATTGATCATAAAGCCCTGATCAGAAATAGTGAACTCTGTAATTACAAGGAAGACGTTTATTCATTGGAAACAAAGCTGGGCTTTAATATGCAGGTTCATACATTCATAATTTTATTTTATTATACTTTTAAGGACTGCATATGGATGACTGCATTCTTCTTCAACAATGCACAATAAACTGCTTGTCTAGTGATTTCTGCTTTAACATTATAATTTTACCTGCACCTCTGCACAAGCTCAAACTTGTATTTACTGAAGTATAAATGATCCAAGATACCTCCAACTTTCTTGTGCATTTGTTTATTTGCTTGGTAATAGACTTCTGAGTGAGTGCATTGATCCATGTGTCATCTTAAAGTATGAAAGTGTGAAATCCTTATACTCTATTGTCTTGGCATCAGTATTGAAAACCAATCCCATTTACAGTATTGGTTTGTCTAACTCCATGAAAAAGGAAAGTGCAGAATGGAAAAGTGCACAGTGCCATGATCCCATGACCCATCTTTAGAGAAAAGTGACCACATAGCGCTGCTAAAACCCTTGTGTTCAGACAGGATTGTTTACAGGCCACAGCATCATGGCACAAAAGCCAGGATCAATTTCTCGACGTAATAGAGCAGCTGCTCCACTCCGAGTTCCCTCCAGATGTCTGAGCTCCTAACCCTATCTATAAGGCCGAGCCCAGTCACCCTTCAAAGGTAGCTCATTTCGGCCGCTTGTATCCCAAATCTCATTCTTTCGTTCACCACCCAACGCTCATGACTATAAGTGAGGGTCAGAACATAGATGGACAGCTCTTGATATACCTTCGACTCAGCTCCCTCTTGTCCACAACGGTCCGGTACAACACCTGCATCATTGCTGACGCCGCACTGAATCGCCTCACTCGTGATCAAAACCCAGAGAATACTTGAACTCCGTTACTGGGGGGGGGGGGGGCAGTGACTTACTCCCAACCCGGAGGGTACAATTCCCAGTTCTTTCTGGCAGAGAACCATGCCCTCAGACTTGAAAGTACTGACCCTCATCCCGACGTAGGTTGAGGTCCCCAAACCAGACACTCTCCTCCCCCTAGCTGCACCATGAGAATCTGCATTGGTTCTTACTGGATCTGAGGTTCGACATTTAGTCGGAACCTCCTTTACGGTACCTTAGAATAAACTTTCCCGAGGAGGCTGAGCAGTGTGATACACAGATAATTGGAGCACACTCTCTGGTCTTTTTAAAAAACCACCACCCCAGTTTGCCACTCCACAAGCACTGTACCCAACCTCCATGTGAAACTGAAGATGCGGTCAGCCAAGACAGCTTAACAATGTCCAGAGCCTTCAGCATCTCAGAGCAAATCTCATCTACCCCTGGCGCCTTGCCACTGAAGAGCTTTTTGACTACCTCACCGACCTCTGCCAGGTCTGCCATGATGTGGATTTCCTCCCAAGTCTTCCCTGAGTCTCTGCCTCCTTCACGGAGGACGCGTTGGTCAGGTTTAAGAGCTCCTCAAAGTGTTGCGTCTCGAGACCCCTGGGCCAGCCAAGCCACAAAGGACTCCTTTATTCAAGGATTCAAGGATCGTTAATTGTCATTATGCAACACAGGGATGCACAATGACATTCAGTAGTAGCCCATTTGTAACACAACAAACACATGATAAAACAAAAACAGCAGTTCCTGTAGTGCATTTTTTGAATTTGCATCATAAGGAATATAAACAGCAGCAACAAAAAAAATTCAACATGAGGAAAACATTGTCCATCAACTCTGACTGTGTTTGAGCACCAAGCATCATGATGTAAACACAGAGTCCACCTCCTACCAGAGTCCTGCACTCTGTCCTGCTGTCCGCCTGTCAAGTGCAGTTTGACCCGGAATGAATGATGGCGCCAGGTCTCTGTGAAGATGTGGACTCAACAGTCACTGACCTCTCGCTGCCTTCATCCATCTTATTTTTCTGCGATCGGACATCAGATAGCCAGGAGCATGCTGGGTAGTGTAGCGGCCTTAGGTTCTAGCAGGGTTAGCTTTGCTTCCAACTCGGCTCTCCTCCCTCTCCTCCCTGAGGCAATCTTGACGGCCTCCTTCTTAGGTTGCCACCACGACAAGCACAGATGACCTTCACATTACACTTACACTCAGATACCATGCCCCCAGCCTCCCTCGGGATGCAGAGAAGATTCTAACGGAGGTGGGAGTTGAAGACCTCACGGACAGGAGCCCACAGGGCAGCGGCTCCATGTAGATTTATTAGCCTGAGCCCGGCCGAGCCCTCTCTCAAGGCCCGGCCACCAACGAGCTCCCCTCCCAGGTCTAGCTCCAGTAGGTACGAATCAATCATAAATGAAAACGGTCTTAAGCAATTGTAGGATTTTTAAGGTGCTTAAATAATTTAAGCTCAAATAAAGTGAAAATGCTGCATAGATCTAAGTGTGCGAATATCTCTTGTAACACAAAGGTGTACAAATGTCTGCCGGCAGAGGAACTCACTAAATGCCGCTCTGTGTTGTTGACTAAATCTCATTGGACCACAAATGTTAAAGCCTGAAGTAGACACAAAAATAATTATTTTCCTGGTGATACACTCATAACGTTTTGTTGGGTCCTTTAATTGAAAATGCATACAAAGATAAGACTGATGATTTCCACATGAATATAGAAGCTTGTTTGAAACCAATTTTCCAGACATGAAGTGAAGTATTGTTGCTGCTTCACTCCAGATGTCTGGAAGCTTGATGGTGGTCATGGGGGCGTGATTATAACCGAGTGATTATAGCGGAGGTTTAGTCCTCTGTTCCATGATAACCAAGCTAACAGATGGATCCATCATTTCCTTACACAGTGTATAATCACCTCAAGTGTATGAATAACGTGCGTTGTCCAAAGAGCTCAGTTACTTTAAACACTATAAATACTTCCTATAAGTGTTTTGCTGATGTGGACCAGCACTGATTGCTTGGACCATGCTGAGCTGCAGACAATCTGCAATCACACAGGTTTAACATCTCTTCTTCAGGTGCAAGTGAGGAGAGATCAATTTGTTTTCTTTCACCGTAGGATGCGCCTTTCCACCCAGCTTCAAAGAGAAAATGAATAATTGAGCAGTACAATGAAATAGATATGTATGTCTTTTGCTGAAATTGAAAGTTGTGTGTCTGAATATTGCTCATCACACACAATTATAAAACCTTTCAAGCAATTACACGTCTGTTTGAACGCAGTGGCCTACCCAGAGGTGAGTGGATGCTGCCACTGTCTGACAGCTGCTAATATGTCTGTTTCATTTATCTCTTAAGCTTATAGACCCACTGTAGGATTGTCAATGAGGTTACAGACCTCTCTTGCTGAAGGTGGCGTTAAATGAATGGCCTGTTACGGCGATCCAATAAAAGCTACCAATAAACGCTGATTTCATAAGATAACTTCTTTTCATTTGTGGCGAGTCTCAGATTTAGCTTTTCCATTTTTCCCCGTTTGTTCATTTATATCATTTGCCATGTAATAGACTTTTGCAGATACAGTGCATATTTTGGCTGCATTTTCAGTTGTTGCATCATGAAGGATCCATGTTATTATGAGTGTGATTAGAGGTCAGCTACAAAGATCTAAATCAGAAAATCTAAATTGCAGCAGCTATTTTTGCCCTTCACACAAACTGCACCATCTACTTTCAAAGCCCTGCATGTGGAAAACAAAATGATTGATTGGAAACGATGCTGTGAAGCGGCCACTAGGATTACTTTGTTGTTGAATCATTAAGCACGGAGGCATTTGCTGCATCAAGACCGCCTGGTCAAAACTCATGTTTATTTCCCCTTTTATATTCAAAACACATAAAAGATGAAGTGAGATGCAAATTAGAAAAAAAAATTGTATTTTGGAATGAAAATGTCATATTTCAGTGGAAAGAATTAAAGACTTTAAAGGGACCTAGCAGCTGCTCACTGAGGCTCAGTAACCATAATTAGGATTGGCACTTTCAAGCATGCTTTTAGTGACCAGGGAGTCCAGACAAGGCTTTCTCAGTTTGGGGTTTGAGGCTATGCGACACCAAAGAAAAAGGTCATTCACAATCAAGGTCTCAAGGGGAGCTTTTTAAAGGCCCCTTCTCCTTCCAAATCAATCACAATTTTGCAGGCAAGTCTTCAAACAGTGTTAGGGAGCGCAATGACCTATTGCCATCTGTAGCCTCTCTATTGAAGTGAGGTCATTTGTAAACTATTGTAGCATTAAAATGGTATCTTCACGATTTGTGTTCATGGTTAATTGATTAACAACTTTGAGCTTTTCAAAAGTACCTTCAGTTTGTAGCATACCCATGATTTTTCCTACAACAAAACGTTCAACAATCATTTCTGATTTGTTTAAAGGACAAAGAAACTGACTAACCCCCGACTGTCCTTGTTTCAATCTGCACTCATGAATATGAACGCGGCGAGAACAAACATTTAACCTCGAATGTATTATTTGAGAAAAGCTATCACTTAAGGCCCAGATGTTTGAAATCATTTACATTTGAAAGGCTTGGGTGAAATTGACATGCAGGGGCATTTTCAGCAGGGATAAGAACACTGAATCTCACACGAGTCTGCCCGCCCTATATGCAGGTGGTGACAATCCAACGTTTCTCTGGCCTTAATCCCAATGCTCTTCCTGCTGTGCTTTATGTGAAACATTGAATGTAGAGCTTGGGCCCTGGCTGGAGTAATATATATATCCATATTGCCAGCCATGGCTATATGCTAGAGCCGTCGTCTTTCTGGAGCAGCGCAGTGGATTAAGAGTTGGGATGGTTTTTTACAATGATCTCCTCAACTCTGACACAATCCCCATCCTGTGGCCCTGGCACACACAGCCAGCTGAACACGGTTGTGCTTAAAAGAGAAATGTATCTTGAAATTGTAAATTTTGACAGTTGCATTTGTCAGGTTTTACTGCCTCGTCCGATGTAGCGGGAAAATGTGAAATGGCATTGTCAGCAGTTTTGTATAAAGAGGCCGATAAGGCAGCAGACAGAGGATATTATTTTTGTCATTCCTTACTTTATAAAAGGTTGATACTTGAGATTACTGTTTGGTGCCTTTTCAACTCGGCTATTCGGTCGTCATTAATATTCATATAATATCATATATCTGATCATCTTAAACCATTAGTCTGAAAGGATTTGCTGACATTATAAGTCGATTAATTGATTAGTCAATTGACAGAAATCATATCTATTGAAAACTGATTGTTGGATTTTAAAACGTTAGTAAGGAGAAGGAATAGTTGCACCCTTAAATGTAACGCACACAAGAGTATCAGGTTTCCACGTCGGCATGTTAAACTCGTGCTATAGAATTACTATCGAGACAAACATGACAAGGAAATCCCTTTTGCACGGCTGATGATTATGTTTTAGCAAATGAAACATTGTTAGTCTTACAATATATAAAGTGCAGTTGTCACATGAGAGGAGTGGATGATGTTGATGTTGATCCACTCCAACCTCGCAGTCTTTCTTCTCTTACACTGCGATAGTAAAGAAAAGGGACAATGAACCACCTTCTCTGGACACAGTGACACCCCGGAGGTTAGCTTTTGTCTCACGCTGAGTTTTTTATACTAGTAAACGCTTAAAGCAAAGGTTGGATTATTACAGACTGACCACCAAATGTTAAAGTAAAAAGAATCTTTGGTCCAATCATGTGGCAGAAGTATTTCACTTCTGTTAGAGAACCAAAATGTTTCACATAACAGACAAGTTAGTCCAGAAACTAATCAGTTAAAAAGAACCCTGTAGAGAAGAAAACATAACGTATTTAGAGGGTAACGTATTAGGGTTCTAATGGAAGACCGCCTTTCATAGCAACAGTGTTTTGGCAGCCTGAACAGAAAAACTTCTTCACAATTACATTATGTTTTGAGGCTTCGCTATACGATTCTATAAATCACAAGCTGACGGGTACACGTTTAAGTTTGAGTTCATCGAAGGCAATTGTTGTCTAGAGCAGTAAATTTAAAAAAAAGACTGGAAACATGACTTTGTGAGGTGAATGAGTGCAGCGGTTCATCCGTTGACTTACTGTTGCAAAGGAGACGGGAGAAACACATGGCATGGTGTGTTTTTAAACATCTGCCAAGATAACGTTAAGTCCTTCATACAGTAGCGGTGAAGCTGCTCTCTAATGAGCCGAAGGTGAGGCATGTCTACCTCGCCGAATCATCACATACGGCATCGTGTCAGCTGGTGAAATTGAGGCCATGTAAATTGGGTGAAGTCAGTAAAGGTCAAGCTTTTCTCCGTATGAGATTAAGATCCTGTCAACTCCAGCAGGCCCCTTAGTAGCATTATGTGGTCGAAGTAACAGAGAACATTGGGCCACATTATGCAACTGTCAGAGTTCAGTTGTGGTAACCTTCACACGCTATAACGGAGGTGAATAACTAAGCTGAGAGAAGTCATTCTATCAACAGTTTCTCTGATATTACTTCAGCGTGATCGGACTATCACTCTCACACCAACACTGTTTTCTTCTCTTCCTGCAGGCGGCATCTTTGAGACGCTTGAGAATGAGCCTATTAGTGTTGAAGAACTGGCCTTTAAATTTGCTGTTACCAACATAAACAGGAACCGGACCTTAATGCCAAACACCACATTGACCTATGACATCCAGAGAATTAACCTATATGACAGTTTTGAGGGCTCAAGAAGAGGTAAGGATGATCCCATTTAATTATGAAAGCTTTTTGTGCTGAATAATCAATTAAAGAGGTTGTTTATTATGACACAAGTGTCTCTCCTGTTGGACGTTTGTTATTTTCTCTCTCCGCTTTCTGTTTCATTACTTCAGCCTGCGACCAGCTGGCTTTGGGCGTCGGGGCAGTATTTGGCCCCTCTCACAGCTCATCCGTCAGCGCGGTGCAGTCCATTTGTAACGCCCTGGAAGTCCCTCACATCCAGACACGCTGGAAACACCCCTCAGTGGACAACAAAGACAGCTTCTACATCAACCTCTATCCGGAATACACCTCCATCAGCCGAGCTGTGCTGGACATAGTGCAGTACTACAAGTGGAAGACGGTCACTGTGGTCTATGAGGATGCAACTGGTGAGTGAAACCAGTGAAGCACTAAAACACGTCGGCAGCCAAATATGTCAGCATTGATAAAAACATAGCAGGAAGCACACTCACGATACGGTCTAATTATATCGTACGTATTTACAAATCTGACGGCCATGAGAGTGTATTGGATGTTGTTTGTTGTGCATGTGTGAATACTGTGTTTGTTTGTGGAGAGCTGATTGTGTGACAAAGTATTGTATAGCAGTGTGGAACCTGAAGGCGAGAGTGTCTGCTGGTGGTCGGCAGGAGGGACCTCCACTGTTTTTAATTAAGCTACAAGTACTGAGAATCAATGTGCAATAGTTGCAGCAAATAGTTGATGTTGTTGTTGTTGATTGTGCATTCAGGAATCTGACTTGAACAATAAGAGCTTCAACAAGTCTTCGCCACAAAATCTCATGGAAGCTGTAGTTGTTGAATGCCGACAACAATATAGTGAATTATATAAATTTGAACATGTACATTTTTACTTATCGGCATTACTCATTTATCTTAAAATACAACCAGAGAACCCCAATGTGAAAGCTTTTCAGAAGGAACAATGATGGGGGGGGGGATCACTTTGGGATAATACGTTGTTAATCCAAGGCTAGTGGAAACAGAGTCGAGGCTGGTAAGACGGCAAGACTTTGTCTCTCTTCAAATATCACGATGTTTTGAAATTAAACATGTACTCTATTCATTCATTCACGCTCCTCCAAAGGGTTTTAATAGACACGGTTTCTGTGCAAAGTTATCAGAAATACTGAAATAAAAGGGATGCTGTAAAAATGTTCTCATCCTTCAGTTGGCATCTTGGTGGTCTCCATGGACCTTTTGGTATTTATATTGTAAAGCTAATAGATGGTTTGAATTGTGTTTTGGACTGAGGGATTTTTCACTATCCCCAAAAATCTTTTGGATTAATTGGGTAATGGCTTCATCGCAAAAATTGCATTCAGATTAAAAATCAAAATCAAAAATAATTATGATTTTTGCAGCCCGCTTACACCAGAAATGATTATGTTCATTGTATAACGTTGTAACACCTTTAAGCTCCACTCACCGAATCTAAGCACACAACAACAGACCGTCACACCAACTTCAGCATCAAGGATGCAGCAAAATCACATTACAACGTTAACTTGCTGCGCTAATATGCTTTGAATCATCCCGAACTTTGCCACAAGCTGAATTAGTATCCAGTCTCCAAACTGTAGCACAGACAGCGATGTGATGGAGCACATGCCTTACCTTTGAAAGAGCTTCTTCTTTGACTTTGTGTTTGTAAATCCTCTCTGCAGGCCACACGCCACACTCACAGCAGCACGTGTTTTGATGGCCAAGGTGTTCACTCGTCTCAAATCCGGTTACATATGATTATAATGTCACATAACTAATATTCTCACTGTGTGCATGTTGGTCAGGACGTAATGCGAAAGTGGGGCTATATTGTAGTCCTGCTGATGAAAACGATTTATGTTTCATTGCACAGTCAAGTCCCGCGCCATTGCTATCTGCACGGAGCAGCGGCTGCACACTCTGGCTTCTTCTTTTCCTGGACCATGAATACACTAGCTTGGCCGAGACAACTTAGCTAGCTGCCTTTATTGCTGACGATTAGTGTCATATGCTAGAGATGTTTAGCGCGACAAACATACTCCACACCTTAGAGACCTTTCAAACGTCTCGATCACGCTCCAATGACGTGATGAGTGCAACATCCGTCGCAGTTCGTATCTACACCTGCCTCATTTGAACATTTTATTTTGAAAGCCGGAAGTTTGGATAACTATCATGTCCACAAAGTTTTCGCTTGACGAATTCAATATATTGCAATTCCTCACTGTGACCACTGGAGGGCAGTAAACTCTCATGATACATCTTTTTTTTTATTGCAGAAATATAAGATAAGATGATACTTTTTGACCTCCAGGAAGAAAATTTTAGCATTGAGCCACAATTCCTACTGCAGATCAAGAAACCATAGGTAGGAGCATTACACAGCTAAACATAACACATATCTATATAATGAGCAAATAAATTAAGGGGTTCATAGGAAATAATAAGTAACATTTAATACATCAAAACGTTCAAACGGTTATGTTACACAATTTACATATTGATAAATAATGTTTGAATATACTGTTGCATTGTAGAGCATTTTAGGCATGTAACTGTCTTAACGCTAGGTGGAGATGGCGACTGACCTTTAGAAATAATTTTTTGTCGCCCTCCTGTGGCCATAGTGAGTAATTACAATATACAATTCGTCAAGCTAGCATTAATAGTGAGATGACAGTTTATGCTAGCACTTCCGTTGAATGTTTTCAAAATAAAGTCAGACAAATTGACGGAATCAGAAACGACAGACAAGAATATTCTTTAATTATTCTCAACAGTTGACTGTAATGGGTTACAGCTAACCATTCTTCAGTGGGGTTCGTATTCAGTAGACCAAATATAATGTTGCGCTAATAAGGTTCTTAAACTGATTATCTTTTTATAGAACGAGGTACGGTTGCCAAGTCTGCCCTCTAGTGGTCGCACGGCGTAAATATAGACTCAGAAGCTTACTAAGACTTTCCAGTGAAGACAGTGAAATACAGTGCTTATGGCGTGCTGCATTTTGGGACGATAATCGATTTTTACAAAATGTAGCCTTACATTTGTTGATATATTTGTTGAATCCTGTATATAATAACAACAAGAAAACTCGGCGTAACGTTTTTGTCGGGACACTATGTGGACATGATGATAGTTGACCTGAGTGTAATCGAGAGTGCTTACTGCCCTCTTGTGGTCACAGCGAAGAACTGCGATATTATATTAGGCAAATTAGCGTTAATGTAGGGAAAAAAGCGTGCTACCACTTCCGGTTAAGACTTTCGAAATACAGTAACCAAACGGAAGCATTCAAAATAAATGAACTAACGGAAGTAATTATTAAAATATTTATGTTATATGTTGTGTTCAATGTTAAAGACTTAAACCCTCTACCCCCTCAAGTTATTTGTTGACAAGAAAAGGTGTTTATCAGATGAACAATGGAAATAGCAACCCATGGGAGTGCGGGTGAGATGGCTAGCAGATGTTGCACTAAGGCAAGACTAAATTCAGCAGGGTTTTTGTGAGGTTTTCTGGTCCATATTCTCAGATAAATTGTGTCATATTGATACAAACTGTCATACTGTTGTAGTGCCTCTACATATATGATTATACAACAATGATAAACCTGTTCCCATCCCTGCTGATCATGTATTAATTACACAGCCTTTCTTCTGAAACAATAACCTTTTTATTTGGAGTAAAATGTCTCCAGAGGGCGGGTTTGTTGTAAATGTTTTTGTTGAGCCTAATAATGGCCTTCTTGGCTTTTAATTTAAGGACTGATTCGTTTGCAAGAGTTGATCAAAGCTCCATCCAGATACAGCATTAAAATCAAGATCCGCCAGCTGCCAACAGGAAGCAAAGATGCCCGTCCTCTGTTGAAAGAGATGAAGAAGGGGAAGGAGTTCTACGTCATCTTTGACAGCTCTTACCAAACATCAGCCGATGTTCTCAAGCAGGTGAATAACAAACATCTACCAGTATGCATAGGCACTAGGCACACAACACACTAGGCAGAAGTCATTGCTCTGAGGATTTAATGCATAACTTGACACCTAAAATGCAATGTTCTGTCAGAAATCCATTATTATTTTGGTGTTTCTGCATTGCTTTTGGTTTAATATTCACTTGTGCAAGATTAGTCTCATTCTATCCCCTTCAGAAATCCTATGAGCTTTTTTTTTGAGCCAGACATACACATTAAGAAATAAAAGATTGATTGGAAACACTACATTAACATGAGCAACTCACTTGGATACTTGTCAATGCAGACCATACAAACAATACTAAATGAGGCAATTTAGAAAGTGGGTGGTTTGTAATTTGCAAGAGTCTCTTGGTAACAGATGTGGTTGGATCATGTTAGGGAAATAAAAGATTATTTATACTGGCTGCCTGGAGAGAAATATGAATGTATAGTCTGTTATTCTGTTTAGATCTTGTCCATGGGGATGATGACTGAATATTACCACTTCTTCTTCACCACACTGGTAAGAATACTGTTATTGAGCCACATTTCAGGGAATTTCTGCATCTCAAGAACAAAAACAAAGATTGTTTTCTTTAATACATGTGCACAGGAACTTTGACTCATGAGTTTCTCTCTGAAACAGGAATGACGAACCTAATGGATATGCACATAATAACACTGTTCCATTGTGTAGAGTGTCCTTCTATCCTCCGCATGCTTAAACGTGCATATTCACCCAGTGATTCTGTTGTGCAAAGATTATGCAGATGAACTCAAACATCCGTGGTTTGTTTTATAATAAGATTGCTGGATGTTTTCAGTGCTGTTATTGTAATTCCATGGTAAATTGTCCCTTTACCCTTGCTGAATAACTTTTTGGGGTAATTTTTAAGAATCACACTGATGATGTTGTACTTCTACAGGACCTGTTCTCCCTCGATCTGGAGCCGTACCGCTACAGTGGGGTTAACATGACGGGGTTCAGACTGCTCAACATAGACAGTCCACAGGTGGCCTCGGTGGTAGAGAGGTGGGCCATGGAGCGACTGCAGTCTCCCTCCAAAGCAGAGACTGGAATGATGGAGGGGATGATGACAGTGAGTGGACTTTACTTTCCTCCTTTCGTTCCGCATGCCAAAGGTCCACCAGGTGCAGGGGCTGTGTTTCTCAGTGGGGACTCCCATCTAAACTGTGTCCTCTGATGGTATTGGGATTGTTTATATAGCCTGATGTAAGCAACATGCTCAAAAGGTCAAAGAAGGTGCGTTAATTCTATGAAAAGCTAAACATTAAATGGAAAATATATGGAGAGTCTGAGCTTGTCAGCTGAGCAAGGTTGGAAACAATCTGTTTGTCATCAGCCAAGTTGATTTCCGCAGCAAAAACTATGCTCTAATATCAAATAAGGTAATTCTCAACATCCAGACACTGGGAGATTAAACACGTAGCCTATTTTGGGAAGCTACTCAAGACCTTTACAAAGGCTTAATCTGAGCCCCTCATCACTTGAGTCACAACGCAGCAGTCCCCCATGTTGCTCTCTGATTGTGTGTACAATCAGAAAGGTATTTTGAATAAAATTGCTCCCCATATTGTGCTCACTGTGGCTGGTTGTGTCTCCTGTTTGATTGTTTTCCGTGCAGTTTGTAAAGCTGGCTCTGCTTTGAGAAACCATACGGTGCTGTGCATCTACATCAACAGTCCTCATGTGATAAGTGCATAACGGGATCCCCGCTGATGGATGCTGACAGCCACGTTTCTCTTTCAGACGGAAGCAGCTCTGATGTACGATGCCGTCTACATGGTGGCTGCGGCCTCGCAACGGACCTCCCAAATCACTGTCAGCTCCCTTCAATGCCACCGACATAAACCCTGGCGCTTTGGATCACGCTTCATCAGCCTGCTCAAAGACGTGAGTTTGGTTTATGAATGTGTGACACCCGTCCCTCTTCTTCCATCCATCCATCCATTTCACAGCCTGCTATACCATTATTTCATTTCTCTGGCTGCAGGAGCAGAAACCATAGAGTTAGGAGATCTGATGTCACGAACAAGGAACGTGTGTGTGAAGATTACATTTTAAATAATTTCTCTCAGGAGATAGGAATCAATGTCATGTTCTACATTTTGGGGGTTTCTTAGATAAGTGGGTTTTCAGAAGGCTACTGATGAGAGCTGTCCATTGAGGTTTTTAGGGTACTCAATGAAAACAGGCTTAGATAATAAAATAATGATAAATAAGATTTCCTAGACTTATTCTAGTCATTCTAAAATATGTTTGTTCTGTTCTGGTTTTAAGTTTGAAGGATGCCATAGTACATGTATCCTGTAGAGTAGATCTTGGGTAATTTAAACTCAAATTAAAAAAAATATGAATTTGAATTTAATAGCCTCACTTGTTATGTTATACTTTCTAATTAGATGTTTCTTTGACAAATGAGCTTTTCAATTACAAGTGCAGACAGAATAATGAAGGGCACAGACAATGCCAAAGAGTCCAGACAGCAGGGTGTGAGTAACTTAAGTTGTCAGCTGTAAAGCAGCTGTAAAGTGTTTTTCCATGAACAAAATGTGAGGCAGGTGTGTTGCAGGTGGAGCTCGGGTGACTGGGGGAAGGTGGGAAGAGCTGAGGGCAACTGCTGGAGGGTGACAGACTTGCAGGGTCTGAAATGACAGGAGATGTTAAGGCAGGGCAACGGGGGGAATATTGAAACATATGTTATGAACTGGTAGGAACCATGACTTTCTATCTAATATATCACAGTAAACATCTTGTCTATGCTTACTTTATTAGTTATCATTGCTTGGTAATACTGTTGAGAGTTAGCATACCTGCCAAGTTTCATTTTTTTACTCATGAGACTCACATGTTCAACTTATCCACAGACATCTCACCACCTTTGTTTTCTATGTTCATGAGAGTTTTATTTGTAGGGATCATAGTGCTCATATAACCCAGCAACCCAACGTTGTGCCAAAGTTTGACTTGGCGTTAACTTTTTCTTAAGTTTGTGTATTTATTATATAGAATGAGTTACGTGGATTTTACACGATTCTCCTTCTTATTTCTGTTACAGTGTGGTCGGCAGGTATGACTGATTTAAGTCTGCACTATATTACCAGACAATTATAATGTAACTTTGACAACAATCAAATCAGACATGATGTTCACTGTGGTGGATCACTTACAGAAAGTCATGGTCAGGTGAAGCTGATACTGTACAGATACTAGTGGCTTCCTGGATGCTGGAAAATACATTCAAAATCTGTGGTTAGCTTTGGAAAATAATCAGCAGGAGCATAGTTTACAGAATTTCAGTTAAATTGTTTAAAACAATGAAAACTACTGTTATGGTCCTTTCAGATTGTATCTTACAGCTGTATCACATATTTAATACTAGTAGTTAAGTTTAGCAGAGAAAGTTTCATGAAGAACTAACAGCTCAAGATAATAAGGGTCAGCTTTGTGCATTTGGACTATTTTCCTAAATCTACCAATGAACATGCAGAGCATGTTTGTTTGTGAAGGTGGAGTATATAGGCCTGATGGACCGTGCAGTATATTCATGGATAATCAGTGAGGTTTCAGCAGTGTGTTGAAACTCATTCTCATCCTTTTTTATCATCGGGATTCTCCAATCTGAGAAGATCCATGTCATCACTACATGTACAGTAATGACACCAACACATGGTCAAGACAGAGACACTTTTGATTGGTGAGGATTTAAAAAGAGACTTAATGACATGAATAAATCTGGATTTAGGGGTTAAGAAGGCCTCACAGATGTGTGCGATAAGACTGTGTGAAGCGGTCTAATCAAAGATCAACTTCACCAAATGATACCCTGTAACCTTCTATAGATGCAAAAGATCTTTGCATTAGAAATGGAGAACAAAAGATAAACATTTCTCATGACGTCATCAAGTTTAATCTTGAGTCTTATGTTTGTGTGCATTGCCACATACCGCATATTGCACATATTAATGGCTCAGGGTGCATTTGTTTTGGTTCCAGTAGATTAAATATAATTATTTTCAGATACAATCTGACTGATGTAAGTTTCTGTTTAAAGGCTGAAAGAACAAGATGATGAAACATAAGGCTCAGCGTCGTTCGCCATCTCTTAATACACCTGTAATTGATTTCTAACAAATACATCCATCAGGCTGATATAGCGAGAGAGTAGAATGAATTTGGAATATTTTGTAAAATCAAATGAATAATGTAGCAGGACACTTACCCAGATTATTAGTACATACAGTTCACCCAAAGACCCAATAACATTTTTCCCCCTTACCTCAGAAGTCATTTATTCATTCAGAGAGTTTCGGTATGATTTGTATTGAAGCTTTGCAAGTACCATGTGTTCAATGGCATTTGGTTTGTGTCACTCCATGCCCCCAATAATGTCTAGTTCTGAGAGCACACACACAGTGAGCTGCACTAGCGGGAGCCTCAACACAAGCCCTTTAAAGATAAACAAGTGAGACAGCTCTACTCCCAAATACAGGCTTTATTTCCCAAACGTATTTGGCTATTATTATCGGCTGCTGTTCTTTGGAAAAACCTAACAGCTATGTCCATTTTCAAACATGACATTATTACTGTTACGCTTGCTCTCAACATGCCATGTTGTAATCAGTCTCTCCCAGAACTACTTTCTTCTTTAAAACACCAACCGACTGTCTCATGTTTGTGCAGAAGAGGAAACGGCTCCAAAACATGTTGCAGATTATCAGTCTCCAGTTTGTCAGTGATGAGGGAACAGCAGCATGTTTTTGTTTTCATCAATGTGTGATAGATTATTTCTCATTTAGATGCAATGCAACAGTCTTTAATAGGAACATGGAAAGGTTTGATGTAGACTTTGTGTTATGGGGTGAAATGCTCTTTTAATTCAATTTTCACTGTGATTCCCAGCCAGACAAAAATTTTAATCTTGAAATGCCATGGGCTGGGCAAATATACAGAAGGTGTACTGATTTCTTCCCATAAACAAATTGGCTCCTCAGCTGCCTGCATCAGTGCAAATTAGAGATGCAGCTCATTTCTCTAAGCCCTCTCTCTGTAACAGAGATTTAACCTGACTGTTATTCAGCTGAGCTCACTTCATTATAAACTGCATTCAAATATCTCTGAGCTCTGCTGCCCACCCGCTGCTCCCCCCTCAGACAGAGGCCATGCCTGCCTGCTCTGTTTACATCACTGTCCAGCGTGTTACGTATATACTCGGAGGTACTTAATATTTCCATTGAGGATCCAGCCAATGCAAAAATGTCCATTAAGATGCAGTTAACCTCTGTCAATGTTCTTCGCTTATTGTAGCACTCATCAATTATTCATTTTTTGCGAACTGTTTTCATTTTTCCAGGCTTCTGCTTTGCATTTATGTCTATGACAATAAAACAAAACTGAGGGGATTCATTGGTTTTGTTTTCTGCGCTGTCTTTGCCACAGGCACAATGGAACGGCTTGACGGGACAAATAATTATAAACAAGACAGACGGCCTGCGGAAAGAATTTGATTTAGATGTCATCAGCCTGAAGGAAGATGGCTTGGAGAAGGTGAACTATCTGACCCATGTCTGTATTGTCAGCACATGCTGTTGTTGTAGACATCCAACAGAGCTGAACAGAGTACGGGAAACAAACAAACAGAGCGACTGGTATTCAATGTAAACTCCTTTTTTTTTCTAAAATTGCAGAAAGATGACTTGTCTGTGGACAGTATACAGTGTTTTGACATCTAGAGCACTAATTATACCCCAAAAAGGAGCTTTTTGCAAATAGTTGTAGCTGTCATTTTAAGGTCAAAAGTTTGTATATGTTCCTTTGAAAACTTTGACAATGCTGCTCTTGATTTTATCAGGTCACAAACAGGCCTTTGCACTACAAAGAAATTGAACTTAAGACAACACGGTTGGAAGTAAAGATTGAAATTAAACTGAAATAAGGGCTGTGACCAGAGGAGTTATTATTTTCCACATTTCTTTTTCACCATCATTGTTTTCTGTTTCTCCCTTTAATAAGTTCAGAGCTCTGTAATTAAAATGCTTTTTCTTTATTATTTCTGCAAGACAATCGCGGGCAACAACCGCCTGAATAAAGTGTGGAAAAAGGTCTGTACTTTAGCTGCCCGAGCAGACTGAAGAAATATCGACACTATTTACTCTCCTTGCTGTCCTCTGTCTCCCTTTAAAAAAAAAAAAAAAAAAAAGTTTTAGGTAGTGGTGGGACATGGAATTTCAAGTTATATATTTGTCTATATTCTTTTCCTTCTTCCCCGACCCCACTCTCAAACCTCTGTTTGTTCTTCCACTGTAATTTGTCTGCTTCTTAGTACTTGTTTCTTTTCCCTTCTTTGCATTCCTTGTTGTGATAATGTGAAGGTGACTTGGGCAACTATGGATCTTTGAGTGTGTTTATTTGAATATCTTATCCCTAACAGATTGGCGTGTGGAACTCCCAAACAGGCCTTAATTTAACAGAAAGCAACAAGGACTCATCCGCAAATGTGACGGACTCAATGGCCAACAGGACCCTCATTGTCACAACTATTCTGGTATGAACTAAAGTAATTATCAGGAAGCATTTGATCAGGAATGTGCTGATGAAACTAATGAAGTCTGTTATGCGCATTGTTCTAGGAAAATCCTTATGTCATGCATAAGAAATCTGATAAGCCCCTGTATGGAAATGATCGCTTTGAGGGCTACTGCCTGGACCTGCTCAAAGAGCTATCCAACATTTTGGGCTTCTCCTATGAGGTAAAGCTGGTAACCGATGGCAAATATGGAGCTCAGAATGACAAGGGGGAGTGGAATGGCATGGTGCGAGAACTCATTGACCATGTGAGTACCAATCGCTATTATATGTCAGAGAATATCCGAGCGATCAGCGGTATCATCTGTCTTCAATTGAAACTCTGCATGATGTTTTTGTTCTGTATCAGGTGGCTGACCTCGCCGTGGCCCCTCTCACTATCACGTATGTGAGGGAAAAGGTGATCGATTTCTCCAAGCCCTTCATGACACTGGGGATCAGCATCCTCTACCACAAACCCAATGGCACCAATCCAGGAGTGTTCTCCTTCCTCAACCCACTGTCTCCTGATATCTGGATGTACGTGCTACTGGCCTGCCTCGGTGTCAGCTGCGTGCTGTTTGTTATTGCCAGGTAAAAGCAGAATGCAATTTCTTATAAATGTGACTAACAATTAGTGTGTGTATAAAATGCCTATCTATTACTTCAGATATAATTTGGTTTCTATGTTTATTGTATTTGGTTGCAACACTGTTCGCTAAAAACAACATTTCACTTTGGTTGAAAATGTTTACTTCCTGGATGCAATAGGCCATTTGAATTCATTTACAGTCAACCATTCAGTTTGGCTACAACAAGTACCTAAAGTTTCGTTGCACACTGCTGCAGTAACTCACCACAGTAATGTTTCTGTGTCCTTGGTCAGAATTGATTCAGAATGTTTTTTGCTGGTTTCCATTATGTCGTTAAGATGATTTGGAAAAATAGAGTTAATGCTGGTAGAGATGAGTAAACATCAGCTGTTGCCACAGGCATACATTTGGTGTCATTATCAAGTGATGGTATTTTATTTGCATCAATAATTGTGACTTCTTTACCTTCAGGTTCACTCCTTATGAGTGGTACAACCCCCACCCCTGCAACCCAGACTCAGATGTGGTTGAAAACAACTTCACTCTAATAAACAGTGTCTGGTTTGGAGTTGGAGCACTTATGCAGCAAGGTATTGGCCCACTATACTGCAATTTTTATCGTGTTATGTCATCATGCTGTGTTCATACCTGGAAGTAGTTTCCCTTCGGTAGAGCACCCTCAACCATCACTTTCATAATGTTTGTGGTGTGCCTGGAAAAAAAAGAAGATTGTCGGTGTCATGGTTATTTATTCATACATAACGTATTGTTATTGTCTGGTGTTGTGTTTGTTTGTAGAGTTCATAATGTACCTTGCGTTGTTATCTTACAGGATCCGAACTGATGCCTAAAGCCCTCTCTACAAGGATAGTCGGTGGAATATGGTGGTTCTTTACATTGATCATAATCTCCTCTTACACTGCCAACTTGGCTGCATTCCTCACTGTGGAGAGAATGGATTCACCAATCGACTCTGCAGATGACTTGGCCAAGCAAACCAAAATAGAGTACGGTGCTGTAAGAGACGGCTCAACCATGACCTTTTTTAAGGTAATCTCCTTTTCACTGAACATTAGGTAATGTAACTGTCCAGCAATGGGCGGAGGGATGCAAAGAAAAACATCAGTTTTGATTTTGATAAACCTGACGTTTTAGCCTTGAGTCATCAGTCCTCAGTCATTACAGTAACATGGGTTAAAGGTTAGTGTCTTTGAAATGTCCTCATACACGCAAAGTTATAAAAGCTTGTGGCCAATTTTTCCTCAAAAAATTCAAGGATTTATGGTTTTGTTTGTAGCACAACGAGTTTATCTGAATGTACAGAGAAAATGAAATGTACTTGGGCAGATTTGCATACACTTCATTTGAAATGTTAGAAACAAGCTTCAACCACTGACCATGTATCAATATCATCTGTTTTGTGTAAACCTCTGTGTTTTTGTTTGTTGTTTGTTGTGCTGACCATCAAAGTGCATCATTTTCAAACTTACATTAATTCTGATTCAACAGAAATCCAAGATCTCAACTTATGAGAAAATGTGGGCATTCATGAGCAGTAGAAAAAACACGGCTTTGGTGAAAAACAACCGGGAGGGGATTCAGAGGGTTCTCACCACAGACTACGCTCTTCTGATGGAATCGACCAGCATTGAGTACATCAGCCAGCGTAACTGCAATCTCACACAGATTGGAGGCTTGATAGACTCAAAGGGCTATGGAGTGGGAACCCCGATTGGTAAGAGAGATGAATGACAAACTACACAGTAACAAAGATAACCAATAATACGACATATCTGAACAGCAAACCCAGAGGTTATGAAGCTGGTAATGGCAGTAATCATGTTTTTTATCTTGCTGTAGGCTCCCCTTACAGAGACAAGATCACCATCGCCATCTTGCAGCTTCAGGAGGAAGGAAAGCTGCACATGATGAAGGAGAAATGGTGGAGAGGGAATGGCTGCCCAGAGGAGGACAGCAAAGAGGCCAGTGCTCTGGGTGTGGAGAACATAGGGGGAATCTTTATTGTCCTGGCAGCTGGACTAGTCCTCTCAGTTTTTGTAGCAATCGGAGAGTTTATTTACAAATCCAGAAAAAACTTGGACATTGAGGAGGTGAGTGTCGGTCAGTGTGAATGGCACAACAAGTATTAACACACCGAGGGACTCAATCGAAGACTGTTCTGAGCCCTGCTACACATTCCCGTTGTCATTGTTGTCTTCAGAGGACTACAGTAATCACTGGGCCAACAGAACTTCGATGTCTGAATGTGTTGAATGGCATTGTAACAATCAAAACAGAAATACTTTTTAACACAAAATTGTGTTTTAGCACATGAACAATTTAGTCTTAATTGGAAGAATACATTTGAAACCCTTTTTATGATGACAGATGGTTGTTGACTTCTGACTTCTTCACACCTGACCTTCTTGGCCTTGCTGTTTTTTGCAAAAAACTGTATAATTGTTTTTATGTGAAAAAAAAGTCATTTTAATGCCATGATAATGTGGGTAAGTGATGGTAAGTGTTATCTTTTGAGGCACGTTTGCCACGTTCATTTCAACAACTGCAGTAGGTTTGAGAGTATTCTGTTATAAAATGTTTGCAATTTTCATATTCATAGCGCACAGAAACTTTGACTTGACAGTACTTCTTACCGCTTTTGTATGTACTCATGTATTTAAAAAAAACATCTTGATTTATTCAAGGGCGGTTGTTTCCACTTTGTTTATGAATGACTGTTCCCACAGAGTTGCATTCAAGTTGCTTGACACTCAGGCCATCAGTTGCTTACTGTCTATACTTTTTTGTTGCTTTTGTATCATATGACGTTCATAAACATGCATGTGTATTTTTCGTCATGTTGGAATTGTTTCAGAATGACTAAAGTTCCGTGAGAACATTACATCCTTTAACTTTTTATTTCTGGTTGTTTTGGTGTTGATTGCTCCCTATCTCTGCATGCACAACCTTTTCCTTTACTGGATGGAAGTTATATAATTGTGACAATTGTTATCACAACTCCACGGCTTCATTCATGAAGCGTTTGAGTTACATCAAGCTCTTGTAAAACTAGTCTTTCAAATTGCGACTGTCCCATTTTGAATATTTGATTGTTTTGATACTTTTGAGGTTTCTTTTTATCATTCGTTTTGGCTGTTTCCGGGGGAACAATTTTCATGAGTCATTTCTCAGGTTTGCTTACATATTACACCGTATATCACCATGTTTTTATTTTTGGTATACATAGATGTTGCTTGCAAGTACTTCACTAACATGCAAGTATTATGAATTTTGCAAATCTTTATTTGCAAAAGCATTTCAAAAACACTATCTAAATTGGTTTGCACAGTAAGGCAAGCTAATCCAAAATGTAGAGAGATGGCCTCTGGATATAATGTTAAACGCCACTGACTCAGCAGTAGCGTATTGCCTCCCTGAATCGCCTTTCTCATTGCTTGCTTTCAGCTCTAACCAGATCCATATTCACCTCACTCAGGCTTAGGTTTACATAACATCCTCATTATGTAGTGGATTACAAAACATTTTAAACACTCCTAGTTTAAAGGTGTACAGGCCTTGTGGCACAGATTAGAAAATCCTGCAGATGCAATTAATTATTTCTTTCCCCAAATCTGACAGGATTTTAGACTCTACATTATAGGTTTGGCATCACATGAAGAATGATGTGACAGGATTTTAGGTTTGAAATAACTATGCTTGTGAATAAGGACAATTGAGTGGGATTCATAAACAACAATTATGATCGATTGGTGCTTACGATTACTTCGATTATGAGATATTTTACAGATTCCTTGCATTATACATACAGCATTGTTTAAAAAAAATGCTAATTTGGAATTGAAAGCCCAAATATTTAATGAGAATCGCAGCATGCACACAATTACATTGCAGTTTTGATCTTCTGATTTGTATCACTGGAGAGCAGATTGAGGTTGAACTGTTCCTGGACACAGTTTTAGTTTAAGATTTAAATTTAACTGTTTAACGGAGTTTGAATGAATGTTAACCCATCAATCTATTGAGACACATACAAGACATTTGACATCAGGATTCATCTGGTGCAGATTTTAACTATTTAAGTAACACTAGTGTGTAACGACAGCAAAAAGTCCTTTGCCATACAAAACAAACCTTAAGAAAAGAGTCTGCACCTATCAAGGGCATTAAGTTCTTTTTTATTATTTTGATTTTAAGGCTGTTCTTTTCACCGATGTAAATGTATGAATAAAGATGACTCCCATATCCCCGTTTAAAATGTTATTTTAAATTCTTCATAAAGCAGAACCTTCAACCACCAGCACAAGTGCTTCAACTGTGTTGCACATGTGAAATGGTCATCTTTTAAATTTATTTGACAACATTTTGTAACTGATGTTCACTGTTTATAGGTATTGGTATTGCACTTAAGTGAATCAGCAAATGAGGATGAAATATTATCTGTTCATTTTTGATGAGAGATATTCTTGCTGTACAGATGTCAACTATGATAAAGGCAAACATTGGAATTGAATTGCATTGTACTCTATCAACACCAGCCCTCATCAAATGCACAAATAACCTACAGTGTGTTCTAAGGATGGTGGCTTCTCTTTCATTTTGGGAATCATTTCTGCACTGCTGTACTGAAAAATCACTCAATGCTCAATCTTACTCTCAAAACAGCAAAGTTAATTAAATACCAATGCACTTGGCAGAATTGCAAGCATCACTTTTGCTTTTGCAGTTAGCTCTTGACACTGATAAATTCCAACAATTTCCGCATGACTGGTTAAATAGTCGTACTCTCATACAGTATGACTTCTTTGACAGATCTTGTACTGAGATGCACTTTTCCCCGTGCTTAGTGTTACAAATGCAATACAGTGAGGACTTCTAAGACAAGAAAGCAAGTGTAAATGTAATCTGTCACAGTATGTACAACCAGCTGTTTGGTAATCTGAGGTTTGCAGAGCAGGGTGCCTGCTAGCTCGGGTCGGAATGCCCTCTGGTTTCTTTCATTTCTCTGTGAGATTACAGTATTATGGTATTCATTTATATAATCCTTTCAATGGGATACAGCCCCCTTCTTGTTGCTACCCCTAAAATGAAGTTCATATAGTGACTGCAGCATGTAATCAGTTAAGGTTTCCCTCTGAGAACATTTTCTGAGGGTTCTCTAAATGATCTAGGAAGTGTTCGAAAAACTGTCAGCATTTTGTGAACCATTTGAGAACTTTCAGAGAACCTTTAGGGAACGTTCCTTGAAGGTTTTCTGAACCTTCAGGGAATTGTGCTTGAAGGACATTCAATCTGGAGGGAAAAGTTGACTTCTCAAAAAAATAAACAAACACAATAGAGCAGTACCTATAACTACCAAGAATGCATCAAAGTAATCAAGGTGAATATCCCTTTACGGTTCTCTAAAGGTCTTCGAAAAAGAACATTCAAGAACCTAAAGAAAACCCTCAGAAAACGTTTTCTGAGGGTTCTCTAAATGTTTAAAATGATTTTAAAACCTCCTAGAACCTTGAGAGCCCTCAAAGAACATTTTCTGAAGGTTCTCTAAATGTAGAGAAAAAGAAGGGTTTGAAAAACCTTGACAGAACCTTCAGGGAACGGTCCCTGGAGGTTCTCTAAATGTACTTGGAAGGGTTTGAAAAACCTTTACAGAACCTTCTTTGAAGGTTTTTTGTGAAGATTGAGAGACACGTTAGAGAACCCTTTCTAAAGGAAACGTTTCCTTAAGGTTCTTTGACGGTCTACTAAAAACCCTTCTTAGAACCTGGCAGGCACAATCAGAGAACATTTCTGAAGGTTCTCTAAAAGTTCTGGGAAGGGTTTTAAAACCTCCCTAGAACCTTCATAGAAGCCCTCAGAGAACATTTTCTGAAAAAAATCATTGAGAGAACCCCAAAGGAATGTTCCTTGAATGTTTTCTAAAGGTCTTCTAAAAAATCTTGTGGTAACTTTTAGAGAACCTTTGGAGAAACTTTAGAGAATGTTCCCTGCAGATTTTCTAGGTTCTCAAGAGGAAAAGTTCTCTTACGGTTCTCTGAAGGTCATGTCCAGAGAACCCTCAGCCAACACTTTCCGGACGGACCGTTCCCTTTAGATACTCTGAAGGTCTTCTAAAAATCCTTTCGAGAACGTGTTGATAATTTTCTTTGAAGGAAATTCAATCTGGAGGGACATAGCCATCTTCGGAAATATTTACAAATGAGACACTCTTCTGTTCTCAAGAAAAACCTACAACTAACAACAATGCATCATAAAGCATTAAAGTGGTACGTGTAATGTCCCTGGTTTGATTTGGCTATAAAAATATTCGGATGAGAACCCTCAGAGGACATTTCTGAAGGTTCTCGAAAGGTTGTAGAAAGGGTTTAAAACACCTTTGGAGAAACTTCAGAAAACCTTTAGGGAATGTTTCCTGAAGGTTCTCTGAGGGGAATGTCCACTTAAGATACAGTTGCTCAATAGCTTATAAGATTCGTGTTGTGTTTCAAGAAGGGCGTGGACCTTATGGTTGGATTGATTATACAAGTATTGTGTACTTTTCTAGGGGTTTAGACTCTGGTACATATACTCTAATACAATGGATTTCCTCTCATTAGTTCTGCACTTAAGAGTCCGTGACAGAGGTACCTGCAGTGCCACTATTTATATTTACATAGGATGAGATTTTTCTTTTGCAGTAAATAAGAGGGAATCTGAAAGCTAATTGACTTATCAGTTGATGTTTACTGAGGAGACACCAATATTTACAAATCAAAAATTTTGGTTTGTATTATTCTGATGTTCCAATAATTTGATTTTGTGCTATTTTTGAACAACTAATGTAAGTCTCATAATGATGGTGGGTATGGATAACTTTTTCTGGCAACCACAATGTGCAACCTGTAGCCATTGCTCCTTGTTGAAGAAAACCGACTTGATGATATATATATATCTCTGTGGTCAGTGTTAGCCTTCAGGAAATGTCCAGTCAGCTCCATGAGTGCCACACTGAATAGTGTTTGTCCATTTTATTAGCATACGTATATATTCTCTGCTTTAGCAATTTCGCAAGCAAGCTAACTTCCAGATGTTTTAATTTCTAATCCTTGTTTTTCCCCCTCGCCTTCTGTTTCCTAATCCTTGCTACCCAAGTACTGTGGAGTCAGTCTGTCAGAGGATAATGACTGGAATTATTGTGAAAAGTAGCTAAAAGGGACATACGTAAACCCATCCATCCATTACCTTTAACCGCTGATCCTTGGGAGAGGGCGTGGGTCTGGAGCCGATCCCAGCTGACATCAGGTGACAGAGGGCCAGTCAATCACAGGGCGAACACATAGAGACAGACCACCATTCACACTCACAATTACACCTATGGGCAATTTACAGGAAGGAAGAAAACCCACACTAACACGGGGATAACATGCAAACTCCACACAGAAGGGCCATTTTCGGCCAGCAGGTTCGAGCAGCCTTACATATGTAAACCCTTTATAAAATAGATAATTTATTGTGTGACCAAACTAAAAATATAAAAAAGGACTGGTAATTTTTTTTTTACAGTAATCTCAGCCAATTCATACTGACAATGTTTCATTAAGATGAATGAAAAATAATTTCAATAAGAGAAAAAATCAAGAGGGAGGAGCAGAGAAATAACAAAGTGAGAGATCTTCATCTAGATTTTTGATAAAAAAAGAAAATACTAGCTCTGACACAGAAGATATATCAAGACAGATACGGAGTTCAAGGGGGCTTTGCATTAATCTCACGTTGTAATGACAGTTTAAGGTTTTGGTATTCTGATGAATTCCAGGATTGGACTTAAACTGCTTTCATTTTGTTTGCTGGTCTTTAATCTTCTAACCCTGCGTTCTTAATCAGAACTCAGAGCAGGTTTTTAATCTCGCATGAATGAGGCCGCGGATTATAGGCCTCTGACCTTGCCATGTCGCACAGCTGCTTCCTCCTCAAATCAAGTTTCTCTTCCTGTGTAGCTTGCAAAAGAGGATAATCTTACTTTTTGCACTACAATGCTGTAAAATCCAAACTGTGAATAAAAGACACAAACACTGGGGAAGAATCCTAATTTCTGAGAGAGTCAATCAAAAACAGGTCCAATTCATAATGACATCAACTTGAGGATTTTCTACAGATGTGTGTCATGATATCTGGTCTCTGTGGCATTTCATCATCTAATCCTTTTGACTTTTGAATTAGATACAACACCACTTACCAAGTTTAGAATCGAAGCTTTGTTTTTCAGTATGTGTGAAGGTTGACTTCGAATAGATAGGTTCAAGTTTGATTAGTGGCTTCAGGGTTGCCTGTGTAATTACCATTTTAACCTTGAGGACTGTGTTCTGAGGAACACACAATGCTTTTTCCTTCACTGTCCCCAATTGCTACAGCCAAGGTACTTAATTTAACACATCTTTATCCTAGTTTGGGTTAGGGGTTAACTTATTTACAAGAATAAGCAGCTAAAACAAGAGGGGGGTATGGTGGCTTATAGTGAGCAAGTGAGCATCACGCTCAATCAAACTGTTTTTTTCGTTTGTAATTCTATTGATGTCACTTGTGCATTGATCTAAGATGGCTTACATGTGCATTGATGTGTTAAAAACAATGCTAAGTCTGCATAAGAACTGGGCTGCTGTGATGAAAGAGAGAGGAATGATATAAGAAAATACTTCAAACTGTATGACTATTTTTCTTTATAAAATGAAGATTAGCTTGTTACAACAGATTTCTATGAAAGCACTTTGAAAAGCAGCCAAACACACGTTCCATGCAAGAAGCTAAAGCAGTGATTTTGTCAGATCGGAGCATCAGAACCTCTTGTTTCTTGTATATCTGATATATTTCATCAATTTGGTGCAACACTCACCACATGAATGAAGGTAACCTGCCAGTCCAAACACCACCTATTGGTACCAAATGTATCTGCAGCAATATGTCTACATGGGGACCTGCACATGTAGACATGTGGGCCCTTTATAGGCAAGTGAGGAATATCTGCCACAGTTTTGGTGTTTGTGCCAAACGCGGGCAATTTACGCTACAACTGCAATTGCATGTTATGTGTAGAGCTGGTTTAACAATAACTTGCGCCCAATCTGCAGCCTGCTAAACATGAACATTTGTGAATAACTAACAAGTCAGCTCTACGAGTTGCTCTGTTTGTAGAAAAATCAAAGCAGCAAGTAAGGCTACACAAACAGTGTATGTTTGTTTGACTAAAAAAAAAAACAATGATTTATAGTATAAGAAATACAAATAATTAAACATTGCTTTTTATGTTGTACTGATTTATAATTATAACTCTGGACTAGGTTGGGAAGGCATCTTCCTTACATCTACATACTGAGCCTTTTAACTCAGTTTGCACTGCTTGGTTACAGGGATGGCTGTCATACACACTTAACTTTATCCAATTTCCTGTCTGCAGAGTCTCTAGATCCCTTCACACTTTCATTGCATAGATCATTTCATCAGCCTCATCTGAGTCTGCCTTTAATTTCCACTCTAATCTAGTCATATCTACAGTCTTCCTAATGATTCTCTGTAGTGTCTGTAGATCAAATAACTCTACAGACAACTGTTCATTTCAAACTGCAAGATACAAGCAGTAGTATTACCCAAGATCCTTTTGATATCAGGTGGCTGTACATGGTGTCTTTTCCTAATCCACGTTCATAAAACCTCAATCTCATGTAACTTTTAGGCCACAGTCATTTTGTGAGTCAGCTTCCTGTTCCTCATTTAGAGCTCCGGCCCAACTTTCTAGTAACAGTTTTGTTACGTTGATTATGTCATGTCCCCCGTTGATGACTGAACAGTCTGACATCAGCGACAGTACATGCGGTTTCAGGTTAGTTTTATCTCCTCTTGCAGGTACATCACAGAAGGAACAATTAATATTGTTATCGTGCTCTAGTCAGTAAATTAAGGGTCAGTATAGCTGATGAGGTATATTACGTTATACTTCCATCTATTGGCCAAACTGTGGTACTGTGCATCAACAGAGGGGGAATATTCTTTTTGTTGGAAAAAACAAAACAAAACACTGAATGTTACAAAATGTTGTTTATTCAAATCTGTAATCCATGAAAGCATGAATAAAAAATATTCAACATGAAGACAGACATTAATGTAAGAGAATGCCATCAATGTGGGCTCTGGGTTAATGTGCAAAAGTGCTTGAGACAAGAACATAAAGAGATTGCCTTTATCTTTCTGTATTCATACAATACCAGCGCATAAGGCACGTTTTGCATCAAATATCATAATTTCCTATATGTTCCCCTGTAACACTTTCATTATTCCTCAAACATCACGAGAAGCTGACAGTTGTTCATCCAAACTATGTACCGGCATTAAATAATGCTGCCGACAATTTATGTTAGCTGTAACAATTCCTCAACTGTCGAAAAAAGGTTATGTTAGTACTGCGCATATTTGATCAAAGAAACAGCACTTAACACTTCATGTACAAAATACATGAAGTGTTAAGAATACATTAATTATGAATATAATTAATGAGCTCAAAATTAAACAAATATCATATCTTCATAAATGTGTGTATGTGTGTGAGGTCGGTATGTAGTGAGAATTATTTCAGCCATCAAAACAGTCGGGTTATGAGTTTCTTTGTTTTAAGAACATCCTATTTTAGAAATGGAAACATTTGGGAATGTGTGCACTTTAAAAAAGATGAACACTAGATTCTGTGTTTACTACAGTGTAATGCATATTAGGAATACAGCAAAGGAAATGTGACATTTCTCTATGCCACTTTAAGATACCAACATCAGACCGAAAATCATTCAGTGAAATACACAGACAAGCATATCAATCCCGAAAGGAGATTGTAGTATATAAAGTCCACCCCCTGCTCTGTGGTTCTGCAAGATTAGAAATGACGATGGAAATTGAGTCCAATTATAAGCTGTTGTTCATGTCGAGACAGACATTGAGCAGAGACGCAGAGACTGGGCAGCTCTGTGGAGAAACTGCCTCCTCTGTCTGTGTGCCAGCCTCTGATGCAGCCGTTTGAACAGAGTCTGCAGGTGGCTCGCTTGGGTCACACTCTGAAGAACTTACTATTTTGATAGTGATCTGGGACTCATCTTTACCCAAAATGTGAGGGGAGTAGACGGGGGAGTCTGGTGAGGAGACCTTGGCGAGAAGCTGCAAGTGGTCCTGATCAGAGCCAGCTTCGAAGCTAACGCTCTTACATAACCCGCACAGACTCTGTCGCGTCTCCTCCAGGTTGTGCTCCAGATCGGTTCGCTCGTGCAGCAGTCGCTCTTTCTGATTTTTCTGTAGAGAGAATAACAGTTAAGTACATTCACTTCCTTGACTCCTTATCATAACATGCATAACTGTGAAATGAAAGGCTCACTCAATGGAGCGATGCAAATATTTAGGACAGGATCGTAATTATTTTTTCTCCGTTTCTTTGTTCATGCTTCTTTCTCTTTTGGTCTGATCCAGTCTGTTTAATCTGTAAACCTAAATCTACCATTCAACTTTCCACAGGTGATACAGGATTTACACCCAGGAAATATCTATGAAGGAGGGGACAAGATGCTTGCTGTAATAAATTGTTTTTCTCTTGTGCTTTTGATTGGTAAGTGCACCTTTTGGTCTGATCTGCTCATATAACCCTGCCATTTAGCTGTGCAGCAAAGTCTACCATACAGATATTTTGCATTACTTTTTCAGTCGATACATTCTCTTGGATTTGTGCTCCAATTACTTAGCATACTGACCTCTATTGTTTTTTTTGTTGTGGCAAATGAATAAGAGGTGAAAGGAGGGGTGGAGGCTGTGCCAGAAACTTTTTTCGGAAGACAAAAGTACTTCCATCAAAGTTGCTGCAGTTCATACTGGTCATAAATAGAGGCCAATAATGGTTACAAGGACAGAAAATTCAATCATATTATGTTTGTCAACAGAAAAACAAGACGTATTAAAGGCAACTTACTAATCTTTTGATTTCACATTCTAGCTGGTATATGCTGTCTAGTTTCCTCTTTCGGCAGCGCTGGGCAGCCACGCGGTTTTTGCTCCGTCGACGAACATCATGGACAAATTCAAGCTGATCTTGATTCAAGTGATGGTGTCTCAGAAGCTGCTGGAAGGCACTCCGGCTCAGGGCTGAGATCTGCTCCACAGGGAATGGGAGCTGAATCTGTAGAGTGCAGTGTTTAAGAGTTAGATGTATTCTACTTGATATCTTAAACTGTCAAAAAACAAATATCAGCTGTGTATCAAAATGACCTCTGCTGCTCTTTTGTTGTTGGCTTCAGTATCTCCATCTGTGTCCAGCTCTGAGTCGTCCCCAGAGTTGAGCGAGGAGGACATGTAGGGGCTCTTCTCTGACTGGGACAGGCTGTCGGTGCATGGAGCCGGGTCGTCACCTGTCCCAAAGTCCCTGAGGAAGGGACAGTCTCCTACACTGGAGCTCAGGTCCAGCTGCTTAAGCCAATGGAAGTCTGATGCTTTTGCCAGATTGTGTTGGTCCATTGGTTCCAACGGGAGTGGTTGAGCCTGAGATGGACATAGGTCGGACCAAAATCCCTTTGCCAGATGTTCAGCTACCTCCCTCTCCACGCTGCTCCTCCCCCCATTTCCCTCTTCGTGACTTAGAGCAGATAGTGTATGGTCTGGAAGATCACCTTCCATTTTCTGTTCAAGGCCAGCCTCACTCTGCTCTAATAACTCATGGCAATCATCCGCCCCTGATGTGTTGAGTGGACATGAACCAGGGTTGCAGTCGGTTTCAGCACCAAGCGTCTCCACAGGCTGCTTAACTTCTCTGCCTGCTGGCTCAATGAGTTCTGGCAGATTCATATCCCCGGGGGTTGACAGCTCACAGGGTAAGCCACAATCTGCCAAACTCAACTCACTTTGATTACACACATCTCCTATCTCTAAACATTCTGTCTCGCAGAACTGAGAGGAATGATCTGCTTTGGCAGAGTCTGGGCATGGCAAAGACAACATGGGGCACACACCATTGGCTGTTAACTCCAAAGATAAGGGGGGCATTTGTGGCCCACAATTCTCCAAACAAAAGTGCTCTTCCCCACTGTTCGTCTGACCCTGTGCACTCTCAGGACACTGTGATGGGAAATCTGTTTGTTCATCCCCTCTTGAAGGCACTGAGCTGTGTGACTCCAATGATTTTGGTTGGCTGCTTTCTGCGCTCGGGCTAAAACTGGCACTGGGATCTCGGCTCAGACAACAGGCTCTACGCCTGACCTCTTGTGACGTTCTTTTGCCGTCAGAAAACTTTGGGATGAGAAAATCAAAGCATGCGGACTCCAAATCACGAAATCTTAAAAACTCAGCACTGCTGTGAATGGCACGAATGTTTTCTTTGGTGAAGAGGAGCTTTGATGTGTAGGCAAATTGAAGCAAAGGTTCAAACCCCACAATGGTCACCTGTAGGGAAACAGAATCAGCAAATTGTTGAGGTACCGTAAAACATACACCATAACGTAGATATAACAAACTACTGTACAATAAAATACTATAATTTCAACACACTATATAGGTGACCAGCTAATAAAGGAACATAGGAAATGCAGATCATTAGCGTTGTTTCATACATGCCCTGAAATGTATAACTTATTAAGTAGCCTATACTACAGTACAAAAATCGACAAAGCTCAAAACAGCATCATCTCGCAGAAAAGCTTTCTAGTCCACGTGTTGTAACATTTTAGCCATTCACAGAATGAACTTGGCAGAATTTCATTGATGAGCTCTCTTCTTTCAGGATGCCCAAAAGTGCATTATTGACATTTTTCCACATATCATTCAGATGAACAGCAGGACACCGACCTCCTCGGGCAAGGTGATGATGGGATTCTGTCTTGTGACATTGGCAACCTTGCTGTGGAAGTAGTCACTGCAGGAAGCCAAGACAGAGCAGTGGGCCCGGAAACTCCTGTTTTCTACCACCACCGTCACATCACACAGAACATCCTGCTGCCTCTGATCATCCAGACGCTGGAGAACATGGTCGCTGTGCACTGCAGACTCAAAGGTGAACACCATGGTTCAAAAAGGCTCAGCCTGTGTGACAGAGGGAGCAGGGTGAAGTCAAAAAAGCATCACGATCACACGCCATTTGTAAAAATTGACTACACTATAGGTTCTAGTTGCAGTGATTAGTCAATGTTCAATTAGTGTGTTGACAAAAAACTAACCTGCAACAATTTTGTTGTTTGATTGGATAAATTGATTTAATAATCCATAGATAAACCAATACTGAAACAACCGTTATTTGCAGCCTAGGTGGATTCAGTCCTAAGCAAGGGATGTGATGTTACATCATAAACAACCACCAACCACATTTTCATGGTGAGGGTTAGCATTTCAAGAAATCTCATCTACTTCTTAATGGCATTACTGAAATAACATATACAATTATGTAAAATGGCTGCAATGTAACATTACTTTTTGTTACTGTCTATTACCACTTTGCCACAAGAACAGGTTACATAATAAATATTATGGGCAGCAGAAACAGGACAGGCACATGTTCTACCCTGATGCAGGACACTGTACCTGCTCATTCAAAGCAATGACATGCTCCAATCTGACTCAATGACGGTGGCGCTAAATACAATAACTTATGTTAACATTGTACTGACTGGGATAAATAATTAGCTAGACAGCTACTCGTGAGCTGACAGTTAGATGCCGAGTCAACGTTAACTACAGCAGCCAGGGCAGATTTCATTTTAACTTGGGCAGCAAGTTTTAATGCTGACTCATGTTTAGCCAAGTTACACAACTGGGCCTGGAGGCGAGTCGCAACCAATAATATCCACATTTACGACAAGACCACTATGTTACTAACGACTGACAACACTTACATTTAGATGTAAATGTAATGGTCGACAATGATATCTAAACGGAATGGCTTTACGCTAAGCTAGGTTAGCGATGACTACTGTACCGAGCGATAACACTTTCCTGTTGTTGACTACAATTTAAAATATTCCGTAACATTCATTTTTAATCATTTCTAAAAGGCCACATGTTTACTGACCTGTTATGTCAGCTAGATAACACTGCCATTGGTGAGTTTTGAGTAGAGATGTTTCTGGACATCCGGAACCAGACTTTCCTCTCGTCATGTGACAATCTGGATCCAGGAAAAACTGTCAGCACTTACTGCGCATGCTCAGTGCAAGAACCAAAAAAGCCAGCCGAGACGGGGATAAAAATCCAATTTTGAAGCATTTCATTATGATTTCATTACATGACATTGATAAAAATAGACATAAATATGTTTTACAAATGATGTTCCCCCAACATTTCATTTGCCTCCTGAAATTGATTTTTGTAATGCCAACAAATCCAACACCACAATCTGTTCAATGTCCATTCTGACTTTCATTGCACACCTTGCAATATTCAGTGAGTGTGAGAAACATACAACTGGTCCTGTTTATTACTTGAAACACTGTGTAAAATCCCTGTGATGAAAATGTAAACTTTACATCAAATGTTCCTTCTGTATAATCAACATAATTTAATCACAGCCCAGTTTGAGTCACAGAGAAATCTGGTCGGTTAACTGATCCCTTATACTGTGGAGCAGAAGCAGCACGTTGGTTTGTTGGATTTCCTGAGTAGTGAAGCACCGTTCGATTAGAGGATTCTTTCGTAGAAGAGGAGGTAGGCTTGGCAACTCTGGACTTTACTCTCGCTCACAGGTTGAACACACGAGTCGCTGATATGGAACCAGGATCCTCTGGGTGGCTCTACATGTCCTAAAGGAGAAGTGATGAGTTAGTGGAGGGCTGCATAAAACATTAGGATCAAGTTATTATTACATTTATTGTCATGCCAGAGTACACCTGCCTTCAGCTGTAAGTTCGTTGGATGGGGGTTTATGGCACTCAGGTCGCGCTTTCACATACGCCGTGTAATGACCCGACCTCATTGTTCCGCTGTGCTCTACGATACCGTACAAACTGTACAATATTTGAGTATTTCCCTCTGTCAAGTTCTGTTTGGAAAGAACTTTTGTTAATGCCCAGACTACAATAAAACAATGATACATTTACAAATAGGCCTATAAGTTTATTGATAATTAATAAAAGCTGTTAATCCCAATATTTACCTTTAACGCACAAAAGGGAGCTAGATCCAGTATCAGGGGGAAATGGACGTGTCTGTTCACCTTGCAAATACTGTATCCATTCTACAGGAAAACAACAAAAGTCTCATTAAAAATCCACAAAAAGGAAGTGTTTCACTGCATTTGAAAATACAAAAAAAGATCGAAACTAAACAAGGTGTTATTTTCTTTAAATAGTTGGTTCACAGTTGGGTGAATAACAACAGCTTGACTGACAGGATCAAAGGTCTTACCTGTTGAAACCTTTTTAAATGAAGGGTAAGCACTGGTGGGGGAGAAGAGATCAGCATTTGCTTCAAGGCATCAGTGTAGACATTCTTCTTGGATCCTAATCAAAGCACAAATAAAGAAGATGAACTTCATAGATTCCAAAATGTAAAAGTGAGTTGTTTTGAGAAAACAAAGCAGCAAAACATGAATTATTTGTGATGCACAAAAAAACCACATCAGTCAGATACATTTCACATACCTCCAGCTTTGTCTTTGTTTGGCTGCCGTTTAGTGCAGGTAACACATAGCAGGCTGTTGTTCTGTGTGAGGGTTTCCACTTCTGTGAAGTGGAAAAGGCACGACTGGACTGAACACTCCTGTTTCTCAGGGGCTGTTCTGGTAGCCAGTGTGCGGAAGGCCAGCTCCGGGTCCTGACTTACTACAGTGTACTCTTTAGCCTCCAGTGGCTCATCTTCACTCTCCATAGTTGTATCTGCAGCATCAGGTTCTTCTATGAAGGCATCATCCAGGGTTACTTTCTCTATTTCACTCACCAGCTGTGTGTCTTCTCTTTCCAGATCCATGTCAGATGATCTGTCATCGTCTAAGATACTGTCCTTTGACTGCTGCTCATCAGATAAGACAGTAAAACGGTTGCTGACCGATGACGTAGCCAATGAGTCGCAGTCTATCACTGAATCCTCATCCTCCTCCTCTTCGTCCTTCTTATCCTGGACTGGGTCGAGGTTCTTCTGGTCCTGTTCAGACACACTGATTTGTGCAGGGTTCCCCTCACTTAGCGAGGCTTCTTCATGTGTTGCAGTGTCAGCATTTTCCATGTCCTTTGCATCTGCAGTAGGATCGGTCTGTTCACTCTCCGTGTGGCTCGGAGAGGAGAGACTGTCCAAAGTGACTCTGCCTTCAATCTTCTGCTGCCTCTTTTGATGCTTTAAGCCAAGACAAAGGAAACAATACAAACTATTTTCTTTGTTCTGCACACTTATTCAACACGCATCCATCAAAATGATGAATTAAGGCAAAAGAAAGAAACCTTATCTGTATATGTTCAGTGAGGTACCTTTGCCTGCTTCTTTGCCTGTTTCTTTGCTTTCTTCTGCTGGTATTTGCTGCCAGACCCGGTGGGAGTGTCATCATTCCCGTTTGTCAAAGCAGGGCTGTTTCTGTCATCCTGGGTCGACTCACTGGTGCTCTGAACTGCTTTTTTCTGGTTCTTCTTTCTGTATGCCTGAAAGATGCAGTCACAAGAGGGTACATGCATGCAACACAAATAAAACATGAACAAGTAATTGCTCGACGAAAAACAATCTTTACCTCATCAGAAACCGGAAGGGAAAGGTCCAAAAACATCTCTGTGACTACAGACACCTGTGAATTCAAAGCAGTGGCCATTTAGCGTGACATCGACATACAGTAATACTGACAGGTTATCCTACATTTTCCTCCACAGTACATACCGTTTCACACTGCTGACACATTATAGTACTGGTCGTTTTCCCGCCAAAAACTTCGTCGACAATGTTTTTTGGAAATCCATTTTTTTCGTACTCTGAAATCAGAACTTAATTGTTAGACGGCCACATTTAAATATTAGGTGTACCAATATTGTATACTTTACTATCTTTTTTGCTCAACTTACTTTGACTACAAGATTAAAGTTTAATGTATAGCCCGGTTACTTACCTTTAACTAGTGTTTTCAGCTGCTCTCCATCTGTGCCTTTTCTAGATTCTTTCAATGCCTCCATGATCCCTGAGCCTACTCTCTGTAGATACAAAGACAATCTTTAAATGCAAGTGATCAAAATAACCTTTTGATAAACCATACAGAGGAACTCTTGTCGACATAAGATGTACAAAACGTTCACAGAATCCTCATCATTTCAGCCTCTTAACACTGATCGCATTCTTATAAAACCTCCGCTCTGTGAAAATGAACCGACCTATCGGAGAACCTTTCTGGGAAAGCAAAATCCCTAAGGTCATTAAAGGAGAGGGAACAAGTGCTATTTAGCAATGAGTCTTTGCATCTCACACATAACATGTCCTCGACTACATTTAGAATCTGAATGACTTGGCGACAATAAGCCTGAAATAAGAAATATAAGTGCACAGTGCAATACATATCAGCTGGTTTATTCACTGCAGTACTGTTCTGCTGTCAATACATTATACAGCCACGTAACACATAGCCACTTGGACAGCTACAGAGTCCATTTCAATTGTAAATCGTTCCCCAATGTGAGATATAGAGAGATTCATTTAAAACTAAAAGCATACTTTGATCTCCTCCGCTCGCATCCCATCCAGAAGGTAGCGCAGCAGCTCCTGGCTATCTTGCTGCTGAAATCCTTTGAACCTGGCAGCCCTGCAGAAATGAGATGAGACAATAATGAACAACACTAGATGCAGTGATGCCAGGAAGTACATTCTAAGCACATGTTAAGGCTGAGCTCCACCTCAATTTGTAGTTGCACTCACTTTTTACAAACTTGTGTGAACAACTCCCGCGGTGTTACCACACCCTTCTTGGATTCCTGGATCTCGTTGAGTAGCTGACACATAGCCAAAGTCAGGGAGCCAGGCTGGCCTAACTGCATGACAATAGGCGCCTGCACACAAAATAAAAACAAGTCTTTGAGTAATAAACAGTGTAAATTAAACATCATCTTTACAGTTAAAAACAAACATAAAAAAAAAGAATGGCAACACACCAGATCCGAGGAGGCAACGGGTTTAATGTTAAGACTAATATTCTCTTCTGTCACTTTGTTGAGAGTCTGTCTTAAGAGCTGCGTTTGAGAAAGATTCTGGAAAACACAATGACAACAATTAGCAATAACTCACAACTTCTCTCATTTCAATTCAAGACTGACATCTTATAAAGCACCATCTTACCTGAATGACTGCATTGAAGAAACATGTGTTTCCAAGGTTGCTCAGCCCCTTTACTGAAACACCACTATTGTCTTCAGATGTGCCAGACTTTTTTGATATCCCAACACTCTCTTTCTTGGCGTTTTTCTTTTGATGGCCCTTCTTTTCATTGTCCTCGCTCTCCTCTGCCTTTACAGTCTCCGTCTTCTGATCAACTTCCAAAAAGCTGTCTTCTTCCTTCACTCCTAAATAACCAAACATGGTGGACATGGTGATAGAGACATGTAATTCCAATAATACAGTGTGACTTAAAAAAAAACTAGATGGACTTACTGTTCTGTGGTCTGTTGATGGGATCTGCAGAAGTTTGCTTTTTTAGGCTGGTCACCAGCTGAGCCAAATGTCCGGTACTGGAGTACTGGACTTCAGCATCACATATGTAACACCTGCAAGTTTGGAAAAACATTAATTAAGACCGAGTACGTCTCATTTCAAACAACGTATGCCTCTGCGATTAACACACCACAGCAACATACTCACCACACACTCCAGTTGTCCAAACTGATTACCAGGCAATGTGGATCCGACCGAGGAGTCTCATAATGTTTAATGGCATGCTGGTCCTCAGAGTTTCGTCCACATCCCTGGTAGAAATGCATCTGGCTATTTAGCAAAAAGTCACTCCATGCACTTTAAAAATCGTATTGATAAATGGGTTGAATAAACTCACTATATGGCCACATTTCAAGCACATCCATATGGCTATCGTTTCCTTTTCCTCTTCAGAGTCTTGTAGCACGGTGGTGCTGCTATTTTCTTTGTTTTCTTCATGCTTACAATCCTGGCATCTCGTCCAATCAGAATTCCCTGAGAGTTTCTTTGAAAGAGTTTGTTCTGTTCCCTTTTTTATGTGCCTGCAGGATGGACCTATGAAGATACAAAACACGCATAATGTGGCAAAGTCACCCTAGGCCTTCTACAGGTCGTCATATGACATTAAGATGGTGATACATTCACTTTGATACATTATTTTGTATTATATATTTGCCTAATTTATGATACATTCTTTACCTGCCAGGTCAATGTCATCGTCCTCTCTGGAGCTCTTTCCCCTTTTCTTTCCCATTTTCACCTAACGTTAAACACAATCACAGATGAATGCAAATTAGACACAGCAGTCACATGTGGTTTGGCTAAAAACGTTAGCTAGATAGAATTACAATGCTGCTTAACCCAATTGAGTATAAATGAATGTAACGTTTAAGTCAATGACCATCCTTGGGGTCCAGTCAACTTACTGTCACAAACGGAGCCTAAAACCTTCACAGTTTACAATTTCGTTAACTTTGCAAAGATCAATTCTCTCATCCGGACACAACTGAAAAGGTGTCTACAAAGTTTCAATTTCGCGAAAAAAAACACTCCCCTGATTTGGCAAAAAAAAAAATCCCAGCTGACACATGTAGACAACAGAGGAACAGAAATGTGACGGTAACGCTGTTTCGGTACGTGTGTTTCCTGTGTGCGTCGCTTGAAGCAGTCCGAGTGGAAACAACGCTCGATTACCGGCGTGCAGTACTAGCAATGTGATTGCAGAAGTTGTCCAGGTGTCTGTACTGTGTTAAGAACCTCATGTATATAACTTTTAATGTTATACGCTTGACAATACTTTGAGGGACACAAATTGAATGTGGAGACAGAAAGCCGTTTAACTGCGATTGTTTATGGTGAAGATCGACGCGCTAGTTCGCCTTTATCAGCATGTCTTGCTTAGAGTGGGCTGAGTCTCAGCTTGCAGAGATAGAGCTGCTGTCCAGCATGTTTCCCACCCGGGAGGAGCTGGAGATCACAGACCAGCTGGCTCTAGCTGAGCTCAGGGACTATGTGGAGGGCTCAGCTTCAACAGACAGCCCCCCTTCATCCAGACCTCAGTTTTTCATCAAACAGAAGCTGGACACTGCAAGCATGGAGAGGGTAACTGAATAACCGACTGTCATAGTATGCCATTGTGATTTAAATATGTCCCAAAACAATTATTTTCTTATTGTGTTGCTCCACTCAGACGGATGTCGTTCTATCCTGTGCTTATCCATCTGAATATCCCAGTGTGTTACCAGAGATTACAGTCCGGTAAGTCAATATCCACATTTGATGTGTGGTGCAGGTGAGGAACTCTTCACATGCAAAACAAGAACGTATACAACTAATTTGCTTAGTTTGTCGTAATTATAAAATGGGCACACTTGTACATTTGAAAACATCTTGCAAAACAGCAATATAACATGTTCATATAATGCAATGTTGCCTAGAGATCTCGTAGAGAAGATGTTATGCATGCACTGTATATCACAATGCAAAATACTGCAGTAGCAGTAGTTGATGTGTGGAGAAGGTGACAGACTCTTCACATGCGGACAAATAACTTTCATAGCTAATGTGTCTGGATGGTTATAAGCATAATTATACAATTAGCACACAATTGTTTCTAGAAAAACAGCAACCTAACATGGTCATGTAATGTTAGGAAGGTCAGTAGACACTTTAGAGATCTGTGTTGAATGCGCAGGCTTTTCCAAAAAAAAGAATTGAACCATTTTATAAAACGTCTATATCAAGAAGACTATATAACATATATATATAAGACTAATAACTCAAGCACACACAATTCAACTTTAACATTCTGTTGGAAAAAAACTTTCATTCCATAAGTTGCAAAGCCTGAACTGCAAAGAGACGCAAAAAGAAGCCAACGATAATTATATAATTATTGTGGCCTCATGTGAACATTAACTTAATTTACATAGACGAACAACAGACTAATGACACAGAGGAAAAGGTTAATGTGACTTTAAGAAAGCAAGAGGTTATTTTCTACTGTTATGGCTTTGTTGGAAGTTAAGGAATCTGCAAGATTAAATATAGATAACATGCAGTAGATGTGGACTGTATACTTCATGAATTTGTTGAGCAGTAACATTAATTTGTCTTTTTTTTTCTTTTACAAAACAAGTATGAAAGCTATTGTATCAAAGGGGTGGGATGACGCATATCAATCTCTGTTGATGAGTAGTGGAAATCACTGCTTGTGTGGGAAGATAAGTCTCTGTTTATCCTCATGTGCACTTTCTTATTAGATGGCCAGTATCTGACACCAATCATAAATCTAATTTTCATAATCAAGATGAATAAACTTAAAATGTTGCCTAAAGATCTAGTAGAGAAGAGGTTATGTATATGTACTGTATATCACAATGCACACTACTGCAACAACATTAAAGAAAAAAAACACATCTTGTAAGTTGCTTTCAGAGAATATTGTATTGGGAGTAGTCATTTATGTATATTGATTAGTAAGCCTATCAACCTCTTAAATATCTGTTGTAGTTATTTGAGCTATGTTGTAGTGCAAATCTTAGCTTCTTCAAGATTTTTATTCAAAGTTCTCTAGGATGGAAACTTCTAACTCCAAATGCCCTTGAATGTTCTCTGAATCCTTCTTACAGAATGTTTTATTCGTGCATTAGGTGTGCCGGTCTCAGCAGGGCCCAGCAGACAAAGCTCCACACAGATCTTAATGCATACCTCATGGAAAACTGCCAGGGAGAAGTATGTATGCTCTCCGCTGTAGACTGGGTGAAAGACAACCTGCATCTCGTCATTAATAAGAGCTTACCAGCATCAACGGCTTCTAAGAAAGAGTCTTCCTCTCCACGGCCACAGGAAGTGTTCAGCCGACTGTGGATTTACAGCCACCACATCTACAACAAGACGAAAAGGAAGAACATCTTGGAGTGGTCCAAGGAGCTGGGCCTGTCCGGATTTAGCATGCCTGGGAAGCCTGGTATTGTCTGCGTGGAAGGTTCTCATTCTACCTGCGAGGAGTTCTGGTCCAGGTATCTTACGTGTTGTTATTTTTAGCAGTTGATGTCACAGCCAGAAGCCTGCTGAGGGCCCAGGTTTATTATTTTTCCAAACCTTTTTCCCATTTCACAGAGTGAAGGTCCTGACATGGAAGAAGATCATGATTCGACATAGAGAGGATATTCCCCTTGATCGTAAAGGCGAGGACAGCAGGGCTGTTGAAAGTATAGACTTCCTGCGCAAATTCACTGGCTTTGAAGAGGCAATGTTTGACCCCCATGGGAACAGAGGTAATCACATGGACCTTGGGCAGCTCTACCAGTTCTTAAACGAGAAAGGCTGTTGTGACGTCTTTCAGATGTATTTTGGCATTGAAGGGAGGTAGTGTTTAGATCCACGGAGAATAGGTATACATACTGGTGCCTTGTCATTGAAGTCACTTAACTGTTAACTTAAAAATTGATTCCTTAATTACTGTTTTAGTTTTTTTTTTCACATACAAGCACATAAATAAATTGTAAGCTTGTGGTCACATGTCACTGACATAACTGAATAAGCTTTTCATAGATGTTGCTCAGTCGGTACACCTGGGACTTCATTGGGATAAAAGGCAGAAAGAACATTTCTGCAATTTTGAGAAACTAAAACTTATTTTTAGCTAATATGGTTTTCAAACTGAGGCATTAAAAAGATGTTTATCGAGAGGTTTCTCGAGGAACTCGGTTATATTTGCAATTTTAATACCCCTTCAAGGATCACACCTTGCCCTAGGTGTTTATTTTCTCAAATGGCACCAGGTTGTATTACTACCAGGCTATTATAGGATTTTCAGGTCTGATACCACAGTAATAATTGGACAACATAGTCAACAATATGGTAGATACCTGTTTTTGAAATCTGTTGATTTTCCTCCTGTGAATTATAGATAACATAACCGTGGAAAGACTTTCTCCAATTTCCTTTGAATGATTTGTTCTGAGATAAATTGTGCCTAATTGTGGAGTACACTTTGGTAATCAAAAAACGTGGTTATTGAAGATGAATATCATTTTCAGCCCATTGAGATGAAAATTTCAAAAAGCAGTCATAGATTTGTATGTGCATTATTACATTATATACTGCATATTTGAATGATGTAGAAATACTAAAGATTATCTCCTCAAAGGAGTTTGAACCCTAGCTGAGCATTTGGGAGTTCACACTTTGTTAAAAATGAACTGATGAAACAAATGAAAATCAGCACATTGTACAAAGCTAGTAGTAGTATTCATTAGTTGCAGGTATTGCATTGCATTTACTTGCAAACTTGCTTAGGCTACAATGCCCAACAGATGGCAGCGTTATGTAACCAAAGTTGGAAAACCTGAGCCTAGATGTTTCTAGTACAATTCATAACCTGGATTTAAAAAAAACAAAACAGTATTTACCTCAACTTAAGCAGTACAATCATGATTTGGTTAAAATAATTGCAAGGCTCTTTTGAATCAAATATGAATGTAATGATTTTAAAAAAAAAGTTTAACTTTTATGAATATCAATGCAAATTAAAATGCTACTTTTATGATGTAAAATGGCAAGTGGGTTATATCTGTGGACTTTCACAACAACAAGACACTAACAAGGACATTCTAAAATAGCCCACACTCCTCTTCATCATCTCATTTGTGCATCTGTTATAACACTGATTGAGCTTTTTAAAGTATTTATCATACAATTGGTAACTGATGAACAGATACCTGACGCAGAGATGGCCACGACGTGGGGTGCTCATTTGATTTGAGTTCCATGTCTCCTTTGTTCTGGGGGATGCTGGTCAGCTTGTAGTCTCCTGTTCTGCTATTCCTGGTACTACGTGTTTTCGCTGTGCCCTCAGAGAGTGGATACTTCAGTCAGACCTCTAACTTGCTTCTTCAGAAATGTTGGTTTATCGAGGAGAGCTCAACTCTCAGGTGCATCCACGTTCCGGTTTTCCCCCAGGATTTGTTAGTCTAAATCCGGATGAGCAACCTCTTCCGCCCCCTCATCTTGCGTTTCTGGTTCTAAAAGCCCTTTCTTAGTAAGCATTTCTAGAGTAAGGTCTCTAGGCTGAATCAGTCAGTTGATGCCTTTATTATAGCTGCAGTGTATATTACTAAATACATTCATTTACATGCAAGAGCATTACATAGTCTCTATCGCACTAACAATTATACAAACATCAACACGGATCAATGTATAAATACCAGCACATTCATTCAGTACAACTATTAAATTGCAATGCATTACAATTAAAAATCTGAATCATGGTCAAAATAATGTCGAAATGACAGATTGCTCTATATCCAATTTTCTTTGCGCCATGGGAAAAAATAATGATAGTTTGTGCAAGTTTTAAGGGGACATATGAAAAACTCGGCGCACAAGTTAAAAAAACCTAAAAGGCCCTCTTTAGAGCCTGTGTTTGACTTGTACACTCTGGGCTACTGTAGAAACACAGTGGTGCAACATGCATCACGCGGATTCTGTAAAGAGGGACCCGCTCCCTACGTAAGTATGAAGGGCTCATTCTAAGTTCACGAAAACACAACAATTCTTAGTTTCAGGTTATTATACACTTAAGAAAACATAGTTATGAATATTATATTCCACTTCTGCTAATAGATCCCCCTAAATTCTACACGCTTTGCCTTTAAGTTTGAGTTTTGAGCAGATCGAGAGCCTCTACTCGTTAGCTCAGAGCTGAGCTAAAACAAAAAGCTCTCCAATGGCAGAGAAGAAGCATTGTAAATTATCTTAAATATCAATCAAACTTCTGAGAAAGAATGAGAAAACTTAAGAGGGTGTATTTAGACAATGCGTCACAATGGCGTTGATTTCCTATCTACAACTTTTACCGCTTGTTTAAAAAGAATCTAAGTGGTTTCAGAGAAACAGTTATACTGGCCTGGGAGCAGCAGGATATACAATAATGAATCATGAATCATGAACAAATCATAGCATGCAAAAATGTTGTTGAATATCAAAATACTTAACAAAGATATATCAAACACAAGTACACAAGGTTTATGAAGCATCACCTCGACACATAAATTAATCAAATCATCCATCCATCCATCCATTTTCCTCCGCTTATCCGGGGTCGGGTCGCGGTGGCAACAGGCCAAGCAGGCTGACCCAGACTTCCCTCTCACCGGCAACATGTTCCAGCTCATTCTGGGGGATCCCGAGGCGTTCCCAGGCCAGCTGGGAGATGTAATCCCTCCAGCGTGTTCTGGGTCTTCCCCGGGGTCTCTTCCCAGTTGGACGTGCCTGGAAAACCTCCAGTGGGAGGCATCTTAATTAGATGCCCGAACCACCTCAGCTGACTCCTTTCGACGCGAAGGAGTAGCGGCTCGACTCCAAGCTCGCTCCTGATGACCGAGCTCCTTACCCTATCTCTAAGGCTGAGCCCAGCCACCCTACGGAGGAAGCTCATTTCGGCCGCTTGTAGCCGCAACCTTGTCCTTTCGGTCACGACCCAGAGTTCGTGACCATAGGTCAGGGTAGGAACGTAGACCGAGTGGTAAATTGAGAGCTTTGCCTTCCGGCTCAGCTCCCTCTTCACCAAGACGGTCCGGTGCAGCGCCTGCTTTACTGCTGCAGCTGCACCGATCTGTCTATCGATCTCCCGCTCCATCTTACCCTCACTCGTGAACAAGACCCCGAGATACTTGAACTCCTTCGCTTGAGGTAGGCACGCTGTCCCCACCTGGAGGGAGCAATCCACCGGTTTCCGGCAGAGCACCATGGCCTCAGATTTGGAGGTGCTAACTCTCATCCCCGCCGCTTCACACTCGGCTGCAAACCGCCCCAGTGAATGCTGGAGGTCATGATCCGAGGAGGCTAACAGGACCACATCATCTGCAAACAGCAGAGGCGATCCCGAGACCCCCGAACCTGACGTTCTCCACCCCCAGGCTGCGCCTAGATATCCTGTCCATGAAAGTCGCGAACAGGACCGGAGACAAAGGGCAGCCCTGGTGGAGGCCAACACCCACCGGGAACGTGTCTGACTTATTGCCGAGAATGCGGACACAGCTCCTACATTGCTCCTCTTGAATCTGAGGTTCGACAAACGGTCGGAGCCTCCTTTCCAGCATTCCCCGGGAGGCTGAGTTGTGTGATACCCCGGTAATTCGAGCACACTCTCCGGTCCCCCTTTTTGAAAATGGGAACCACCACCCCGGTCTGCCAGTCCATGGGCACTGATCCCGACCCCCATGCGACATTGAAGAGGCGTGTCAGCCAGGACAGCCCAACTATGTCCAGCGCTTTCAGCATCTCAGGGCGGATCTCATCCACCCCCGGCGCCTTGCCACCGAGGAGCTTTTTGACTACCGCGGCGGCCTCTGCCAGGGATATGGGTGAGCCTCCCCCTAGATCTTCAGGCGCTGCCTCCTCTGCAGAGGACAGGTTGGTCGGGTTTAGGAGTTCCTCAAAGTGCTCTTTCCACCGCCCGACGATGTCCCCTGTCCGGGTCAGCAGTCCCCCCCCCCCTGCTGAGAACAGCCTGGGTTAAGCCCTGCTTTCCCTTCCTGAGTCGTCGGATGGTTTGCCAGAACCTGCTTGAGGCCAACCGAAAGTCCTTCTCCATGGCCTCCCCGAACTCCTCCCATGCCCGAGTTTTAGCATTCGCGACCACCGCAGCTGCAGCCCTTCTGGCCTGCCGGTACCTGTCAGCTGCTTCGGGAGACCCCTGGGCCAACCAGGCCTTGAAGGTCTCCTTCTTCAGCTTGACGGCTTCCCTCACCTCCGGTGTCCACCACCGGGTTCTCGGGTTGCCGCCACGACAGGCACCGATGACCTTCCGGCCACAGCTCCTAGCGGCCGCATCCACAATAGAGGCTTTGAACATGGTCCATTCGGATTCCATGTCCCCAACCTCCCTCGGGATGTGTGAGAAGTTCTTCCGGAGGTGGGAGTTAAAGACCTCCCGGACAGGGTCCTCTGCCAGACGTTCTCAGTTCACCCTCACTACACATTTGGGCTTGCCGGGTCTTTCCAACCGGTTCCCCTGCCATCTGATCCAACTCACCACCAGGTGGTGATCAGTTGACAGCTCTGCTCCTCTCTTCACCCGAGTGTCCAAGACATACGGCCGCAAATCAAATGATACGATTACAAAGTCGATCATTGATCTCCGGCCTAAGGTGTTCTGGTACCAGGTACACTTATGAGCCACCTTATGTTCGAACATGGTGTTCGTTATGGCCAGACAATGGCACGCACAGAAGTCCAATAACAAAACACCATTCGGGTTCAGATCGGGCAAGCCGTTCCTCCCAATCACCCCCCGCCAGGTTTCTCCGTCATTGCCCACGTGAGCGTTGAAGTCCCCCAGGAGAACTATGGAGTCGGTAGGCGGCGCCCTTTCCAGGACCCCTCCCACCGACTCCAAGAAGGCCGGATACTCTGAACTGCTGTTTGGTGCATAAGCACAAACCACAGTCAGAGCCTTGCTCCCCGCAACCTGTAGGCGCATGGAGGCGACCCTCTCGTTCTCCGGGGAGAACTCCAACACAGCAGCGCTCAGCCGGGGGCTCGTGAGTATCCCCACTCCTGCCCGGTGCCTCTCACCCTGGGCAACTCCGGAAAAGGACAAAGTCCAACCCCTCTCCAGGAGCTTGGTTCCAGAGCCAGCGCTGTGTGTGGAGGTGAGTCCAACTATATCTATATCTTAATCAAATTATTTGATGAATATTTGTATAGCTTTGCATTACTGAATTAAAGCTTTTTTTTCTGCTGTAGTATTGCTGATCATCTCTAGTCTTATCTGTGTAGAGTTTGGATAAGCTGGACATCAGTCGATATGTTATCAAATGAGCTGACATTAATCACGAAGAATACCTGTTCTCTACATTTAAATACTACCTGCCAGGATTCAAAGTAATGATTCACATATTTTTATAATAGCTTTGATAGAGGAAGGACCGACGGAGAATGAATTGTCAACTTTTGTTAGAAATCCATCGTGAAGGCTCTTTCAATAAAGACAGACTGGTTTTTACTCCACACCGTTAATTTGGTTCATTCCATGCACAGATAACTTTTATGATGCTTCATTGATTTTCTCCTTCATTTCTGTCTGCCATAACTACAATAGACATACAGACCATCAGATGACACATCCTAAAGATTTACTTAAAAGTGCCAATGTACTAATTCAAAGGAAATGTCTCTTGAGTAATGTTTGTTTGTCCCAAAATCGTGTAGTGCTCTTTTGCCTACTGTTGCACATTTTGATTGTCCTTCATTCCTTGGTTAAGTGAACTGATGAGCAGCACTTGTGAGGTTCCACCATATGATATTGACATTGCCAAAAATGACTCCCATTCTAACTAAAGTCATGATTAATTTGTGCCTCGAGGTATGATTTAAGAACGGCCAAGTGGAAAATGACAACATTAGTCAAAGCCAGCTGCTCCCTTCATCAGAGGCTCATTGCTGATATCTACCTGCCAGATGTATCCATAATGTTGTTTCTGGTAGTTTTAACTTTATTGTCTGCAATACTGATCTAGACAATGGAGCTTTTTTAGTACCTGTTCTGCAGCTAGGTGCAAATCATTAGCACTGCTTCTAGTCAATACACATTGACAGGTCAAGTATAGACCACTCCTTAGCAGCTATTTATTTTCCTCTTTGTTATTGTAACTGACCTGCAGCTTCTGCATTCTTTATCCGTAGTTACTTACTGATGGACAAATAGTGCAGTCCAGAGGAGGTAGGATAGTGAGTTTGACACATTTATGAAATGAAACATTACCTTTTAGGGAAAGAGAGCAGAAACACTATTTCACACAACAAATGTGACTAGGTCGTATTGTTCAGGCTCGTCATGTTACAAGATGTTTTAGGATAGATGGGTGGCTTAACACCTTCACTAGGGTGAAACCTTGAAAGGGCTAAGAGCTCTACACTGTATATCAAATACAATGCATAATACAGACACACTGACTCTCAGTTTTTAGAGTGTTATGTATATACATAACACTCTAAAAACTGAGAGTCAGCACTATAACCTGAGTCATAATTTCTTTTCATTTCTGGAGTGCAGAATTAAATCAATGGGACATGTCACTGTCCTTCAACTCACGGACTGCGCTTGATACTTTACAGAAGGCCACTTGCTAATGATGATCGTCCTGCCTACCTGGACACAATGAGCTTGGGCTACATCTCAATGAGATGGCTCAGCAGATAAAGGTTCTGCTCGGAGTATCTCAAAATCTCTGGGGTGCTTTTGTGTTTCCTCTGATCAGGGGTCTCTGCCACTCTAACATCATTACCACATAACCGCAGGGACAAGGTGGTAAAGGTGGTAAAGGTTGGGGCGTTGGTGGTGCTCATTTCCTTCCACTATCCTGCGTCAAGGCGTTTCATTGTCCTGTGACATATTAATATTTTTACATTAAAATGTAAATGGCTAAGGCTGTTGGTGAGGACATTGCATACTTTTATCTCTTGTTGAATTACTGGGGTGACATTC